CTTCTTCTTCTTCTTCTTCTTCTTCTTCTTCTTCTTCTTCTTCTTCTGCATCATTAATATCTTCTTGCAGAATTTCAGGGGTTTTCTTTATGTTTGTACTTTTTGGTAAATCACCAAAATTGGAAATGTTCTTCTTTCCCCTGGTTTGTGGATCTGGCAATAGTGACAGGCTGGAACTTTGATTATAAAATCATAATTGTTTATAAACCAAAAGGATATAGTGCTTGATGTATGTTCTTAAAAGTATAATCTATACTTTCTACACTTTCTATACTTTCAGTTGAAAAAAGGTGTTGTAACTTTTATAATCATATAAAACACAAATCTACAGACTCACTTAATGAAATGTGTCTGTTTGCGACAGATTATCTTCAGTGTTTCTTCACATCGTCAGTCTCATGGTCTATATATATAAACTTTGAAGCTACGCTTGGCTATAACCCAGTTACCCGATAAAAGGATTGGAGCAGTATCAGCCCCTCCTGATTGGTTGACAAATGCTCCTCATATACTCTACTATACTTTATATCTCTGTTTGTAATATGCAGGTAATAAGAAAGCCCAGCCTGAAAGGCAATAATTTCACATATACTTTCTCTCGTCATGTCTCCTTGATGCTAAATTAGCTTAATCCCTCACAGAGGAGCACAAATACAGGGCTGCAGCTCTTCAATAAATGCTTAAGATGTTTACACTAATAGCAATACTAAGACAAAAGCTTATATTGAAATTCCACTTTTACTCCCTCGAAAAGTGATCAATATTTATGCACTTGAACACACTTGTCATGTCAGGGTGCATGACGTTTCTTCAGAATTTAGCCTGGCTCGTTTTTTTTATATTTGGGAGCTGCGATGAGCACTTTTTTGTTTATTTATTTCACTCATTTTGGTTGGTCATCTGCTTGCCTAACTCCACTGACATTGAGAGGGCAGAGCGTCCCACTTGTTTAACGAGTGTCCAACCTCAAACTTTTATTGTGCATTGTGTTGTCTATCTGATGATTAATTACTCTTTTGTCAGCCTAAGATCGCTGACCAATTTAGCAACAAACACACACACATTGAGGATGCATCCACAGTATTGGGTTTGGTGTGTTTCTTTTTAATGAGAAGTGGAGCAGAAGGTACAGTGCGACAGGAAAAGGAGAGATGCTGGGATAGTGAAGCACAGCACCGCTTATAAATAGCCCACCATGTCTCTGTTCCTCCGGCCAACCTCTCTCTCTTCATCTTTAGCTTTAGGTTTGCCAAGCCCACTTTAGCGTATTTTTGTTGCACACCTTTTATTTTGTCTTTCTCTCTGTCAGCTTTGACAAATACATCTGCCTTTCTTTCCTTCCTTTGCAATAATGCACTGCTGCTCAATTTAAACTTAAGCTATATTTATGGGAGCTTCGACCATCTTCGAAGTCATTGGGAATTTTTTATTTATTTCAGGACTTGCTTGTGACTCCTCTCAAGTTGTTGTACTATATGTGCGAAAGGCCATTAGCAGAGACGTCACAATGCTGAAAGGCAGTGCCGGCGGTGTCTTATCTGAGCCACGGCAGGAGGGTTGACAGAGGGAATACACTTACACGCACAGCTGCATTCAACTCTCTGTTCAGTTTACAAGTCTTCCTTACAGACTGTGGACGCTCACTGAACTTTACTGTAATGACTGGCAGAGACCCAAAGCTGCCCCGGTGTCTTACAACTGTTCAGAATGAGATAGTTAGAGCAAATACACCCTCATTAAGTGCATTAAAAAAGCAGACTACCTGATTGTGGCTGCTTGCTTTCTTTAATGCTTAACTAATAATCTATGCTCTAGTGCCTTGTTTCACAAGCAGACATATGAATAGAATTGAACGAGACTTTATACCTTAGTACTGACCTGTGAGTAAACAGACGTTAAAATGTTATTGTTGTTATTTGTATTGTAGGGAACACCTTTAACTCAGACTGTTAAATGAGTTCCTGAAGAAAAGCCTTGCTGTTTCACTATATGATGTTTTGGCTGCAAAAACTTTCCATTTGTCTAAGACGGGGCTGTTCTGGACATAAAAAGGTACTTGGAAGTGTGTAGGTGTGAAACGGCAGCTTACTTCCAGGAACTCCTGATCTCAAAACACACCAACATCTCAGGGGTGAATAAAGATGTTCCCAGAAGGTTGTTGTGGCAGAACAATGATGCGCGCAGGTCAAGGAATGCCATATGTTTTACAGTTTAACAACAACACCGAACCCAGAGATGCTTTCTCACGCAACCCCATATCAGACATGGTTAAGCCTCACTGAAAAATATGGATGTAAAAGTGTACGTTGATATATGCCGTTGTCCATAATATCAGACTGTAAAGCAGAAATTGATCTTCTGATAAAAGCTATGTTTCCTCAGGGAGACCTTCTTCCTGCCTAATGGCTGTTAGGCAGCAAGAAATGGAGCAGGAAGAGATGGCCAGCAGAGCACTTAGACACTTAGACATCATACACGTCTGTAGACAATAAATATGTTTATGCTAGTGAAGAAAGGAAGAGGTGCACACCGTGCATAGAAATGTAGATAGATGGAGATAGAGGGGGAGAAGCAGATTGAGATGGAAAAACATTCGACGTGAGCGATGATGCCGGTTCCCACTGCAGCACGCAGATGGCGTGATCTGAAAGCCTGAAGTGAAAAGTACCAAACAAACAGCACAGTCTCATAACTGCATCAGATCATGCTAGCACTTACGTGTATTAGCAAATAAAGCCTGTGTGATTGATCACTGCTGACTCATTTACTGAAGGAATATGGTAATGATGGTGGAAAGGGGGAATGTTTCACTGTGATTTAAGTTGGCCTGTGTGCATGAAAGTAACTTGAGCATGTTTGTGTCACACACAGGGAGGGGAGCACTGCTACTACCAGGGAAATGTCAGAGACATCCCTCACTCCTTTGTGGCTCTCTCAACTTGTCATGGATTGCAGTAAGTACAAATCTTATGCGTGGGACTTTTTTGATTGTGCTGTTTCTGCTATGGCTGCTTCGGGGTGCTCAGGTTCAGGTCTTGGTGCCATTTATTCATTAAGTCAATGCAATTAGTTTTAGCCAGACCTCCCTGCCTGTCTGCATTCTGTGTTACACAGGTTATCATTCACACAGACATCCTCTTGTCCTCCTCTTCTTCCTCTCTCCTCTTCATTTCGCTGCTTTGTTCTTTTCCTCACGTTGATATTTTTAGCGTTTCTGCTTGAGAGAAGCGCTCTGTCAGAGTTAGGTCAAAAACAAGGTCTTTAGGGAGGGATGCATGAGCAGTCCTAGTCTCATTTTGTGTACACATACAATGCATTTGTTATATAAAATAAAAGCAGATCCTTTAAGAAGACCAGCGCTAGCTTGAAAAAGTCTCTTGTTGAGGTTTGAGGTGGATGTTTTTATTGTAGACAAACATCTTTGCATCTTCTCGAGTTCTTTTATTCAGTGTAATTATCACTTTTCACTTGTCTCTGAGGACAATATGATTCCCACTTGATCTATCACTCTGTGTCAAAGCTTGTTTCTGTTCGTTACATCTTGCGTCACCACAGTGCCAGGCTAAATAAACCCAATAATCAGCACAGGCTTGTCGTTTCAGCAAATCGCTGCTCATAGGTGAAGTTGCATTCATTTCTGCTGAATGAGCTCAACTGAGCTCAGGCCTTTGGTCGTGTGTGCATATTTTATGCGATTGTGGCCCAGTGTGGAGGAAACTGTCAGCACAGCAAATTATGTAATTGTGCATGCAAAATAATGAAAAAGCGGAAGGCATTAATCAAATCTAAACAAGTTACACGCGCAGGATGAGCTAATGGTTTGAACATAGTGGGTCATAACATTATGCAGCCACTGGAAAGCATGATTTGCTGATTTGCTCTTAAGGAACGTTTATACAAAATCTGATCATGTAACTGAGGCAGAAAGAGACAGACAGCGTGAGGGAGTAAGGAGTCATGGAGTGCAAAGTAGTGTCACGAGGTTACACATTAGAGGGAGAGTGTTTCCCTTATGCTGAGTAAGATTTTTATCATAATATACATCCTGTTCTCTACTTGCTAGCTGCCTCTCTGTCTCTCTCTCTTACACAAACACAAACACATATACACACACACACATATACACACAACCACACAGAAACTTTACCCCGCAATCCAATAGGCTATTAGCTCTATGTAGAGGTATAGTACATCCATATCATGAGTGCCGGTCCATAATTGATTCAGGCTTATGTTTAAAATATTTTAACATTTGTGACTGGAATGCTCTTTAAAATGGAACTTGATCGCAGTTTATTTCCACCATTTTTTTCTTTGCATCTCATTGAGATGAAAAAATATTGATAAATCCTGTTTGTATTTAATTGATTTTTAAATATAACAATCATTAGTTGTTACAAAAGTGTTGAGAGTAAAGACTGGATCAATTGAAACAGAGGTGCATAACACAAAAAAACTGTGTCTTCCTTCAGATTTATTTGTCTTTCATGCTAACAAAGTGTGATTATGATAAGCTATGTATACAGAGACAATCAAATCGGTTTAGAAAAACTAAAACATTTTTTATTTTGCGTAACAAAGGTGACTTAACAATTACCACATGGCACATCCAGGTTCCATGTGACAAACCAAACGCCAGTGCTTGTGAATAATCTGCTCTAAGTGCTGTGCTGGATCGTGACCGCGTGTTGAAGGTGACAGCTGAGCTAAAGGCTTGGAAGGGTGAAAAAATGCAGAGTGTGAGAGTCAGAGGAGAAAGATAAATGATGTGTTCCTGCAGTGTGTACCTTCCTGACTTTACAGTTTGACCTGACCAATCCGCTAAAAGCCTCAGATCAAGTCAATTAACGTATCAGGTCCAGTTATGCACACGGGCAGCTGGACGGGACAAGAGGACCTTAAGTCATCATCACAAAGACATAACGGACACATGTTGCAGATGTATCATGAATTTTTCTTCATATTCTTTTCTAAATATAATTGGATATGAATACCAAAACAAGCTGTGAAGAATGTAAAAAAACTGTTAAAAGCTGTGGGAGAGTTGTGGGAGAGAGTTTTAATCTGCAAAACGATCCAATAACACATTTGGCCCCTGAGCAAGCACCATAATCCATCTAATCCATAACACTGATGTCTAAAGAGTCTGAATATTGATTGATAAATCATCTGAATCCTATGCTGATATGTGCCCTGTCTCTTCTCTCTTCTCTTTGCATTTAAGTGGGATGTTTTTCGATGGCAATCAAACCTACATGATTGAACCTGGAAGACAAGTGGACAGCAGCGTAAGTTCTCCGCAGATCTCTTTGTGTTTCTTTAAGGAGCTGCTCGTGGTTCATGACAGTGGGGATTATCAGTTTATCCTCCCTCAGTCTTCTCAAGTGCAGCTGATGCCAAGGAGTTCTGGGTCAAACAGTCAATTCACACAGGTGCTGTTTTATCTGGTGCCCCCCTCAGTTACTCTTTATTTGTCTCACCCACACCTCTGATATGTTTCCTTCAGAAATTTCAGCTATTTTTTCATTAAATCCATCAAATTCTCTTTACTGATCCTTTACTGATCCATCCATTGCCTAAAACAGTGCCACTGTGCCAATGTTTTTAACATCATCCCAACTGCTGAAGGAGTTTGGTTGTCCTAACAGACACATATAAGAAAAGTCATCGTAGAAGGTTACAGCAGGGTGGTTTATGTATTCATTGCATGACAGTAAAACATTCTGCATAAAACAATCTGCTCGATTTATTGGAACTTGATTGAGCTGTCTGGGTTTTGTGGAGCAGGTACTACATGACAATCCCGGGAGGAACCAAGCTGGGTCAGCTTATAGCCACTTATTAGGACGAAGGGAGAGACCTGAGCTAACCCACGTTTAGCAGCCGAGTAATGACCAAGCTGCTGATGGGCTCTGTGATTATCTGTGAGAGAAAGTGTGTTTCTTCTTTTGATGAGTAAGAAGTGAAAGCAGGCCCGTGAGGCCCTGTGTGGGTGTGTGCTTGTGCTCTCATGGGTGTTGGAAGTTAGAACACAGAAGCGGATAATGGGGGCAAGGTCATAGTTTAAAAAAAAGTTAAAACACCAAATCTCCCAGAAAACAAATGCAGTCAGACTGTTTGTCTCTCTCCCTGCAGAAAAACTATGAGCCCAGAGAAACTAATTCATTTGTAATGACAGCAGTTCTTTCACAGTTAGACATCATGAAAAGGAGAGGAAAAGTGAAGTTAAGTTCTCTGCATGTGAAAAATTAAGCATAGAAAACAAAGAGATTGAGTCTCCTAGATCCCTTCATGATGTTCCTCCTTTCTGGACTAATATGAGTACTTCAGATGACTCTGAGTCTTGCCACATTTAAGAGATTGAGTGCTCAGGTGGCCTTTTTTTTGGTCATTCATGCTTAACCTGTGTCATCAAATGTGTACACTTATTTGTAAATGCTCGATCTCAACAGGGAGCAAAGATCTGTATGTACACGTTTCGATCGTATAGCTCCCTTTTTTTAAGTGTCGGTTTTGACTTGCTAGTTTGCGAAAGCTGTCTGTTTGCTAACGGCGGGTGGCAGCGCTGCCCTCGACCAGACTCAGAAACTGTTAGTTTGTCAGCATGTCTGTGCCGGCGGTACTCCATTCCCTCTCCATGAATTCTTCCCTGTGTGTCTCTTTTTTAATTTCACTCTCATTTTGTGTGCCTCTTTTTATCTTGTGACACTCCATTTGGTCTGTAAGTCGACCTCTTAGATAACCTTTTGTTGTTTTTAAAAAAAAAAAAGCTCTACATGTCCACTCCTCCACATCCTGATTACAAAACTTGTTTTGCAACAGTAACATTATTTCATTCCAAAGAAACAGACAAATATCACAAATTATTGCTTAGAAACATCTGTGAATGCTGAGGTTTGGGTCTTTTCTCGCAGATAAAAGATAAAACATAGAATTTAACATAACCTGCTAGGACGGAGGCTGTTATTGGAGTCAGCGTGGCTCCTGTTGTCCATATGGTATATCCATCTGCCCTCTCTCCACCAAGACAGAAAAAGTTGTGCAGGACAGCAGCCAGAAGTCTCCTGAGCAAGCTTATCTTTTCACGACATGAAAGTGAACTGGTTTTCTCTGTGCTCTGCTCTTATGTTGATAAAGATGGACCATACACAGCTATACTGAATTACTGACCGGCCTAGACTGATGAAATCCCTGTGATGGGAATGTGATGTCTCAAGGTGCTAAAAGGCTGCTAAAAATTGCACTTCTTGAGTACATGTGGGATTGTGTTGACACACACTCATTTGTAGGGGGGGGGCTGCAATGTTGACTTGCATATGCAGAAAACACCATATGTTTAGCCCTCCTAGTTTAATTCTTTAATTAATTTTTGACACCCCTCCGGCCCCACCTGGACCTCAAAGCTGCTGCATACACACCCAAACTGCTTTCTATGGACTTTTTTGGTGTGAGGAGTAGCACAAAACAAAGTTGTATGTATACGCTTCAGTACAGCGTTTTTTTCTCAAAACAAGAAAAAGAAAGAAGAAATTGTGTACGACTGTGATCGATTGTCTCAAATGCAATGTGTGGAGTTTTTTTATACTACCTTAGAACAAACAAATATATATAAAGAGCAGCAGTAAGTCAAACTGGCTCTGGAGGGAAACTCTAAGATGCAGTTTAATTTTAACTGTGTGATGAAAGTTGAGTGTAGACATGAGCAGCCTTTCCTTTTATTTGTTAGCTTATTGCATCAAAAATTTCCCCCAAAAAAACAACAACTAATCTGTGACATTCATCATAATAGCTTCAGTCTTCGTTTCTATATGATGGTGTGACCTTTAGGAGCAAGATGAGAGGAGGCTTTTTGGATCATTGAAGATGTGGGGGTGGGACATTGAAGGATGAAGGGAGGGGGTGGTGGCAGGTTTTAGGGTGGGGGTGCTCGCCGAAGGTGCCAAATGGTAGCTATTTTACACAAGCACAAGCTGGAAATAGCACTGAATCTGACAGGATGAAAATCACAGGGGTCTCCATGTGGCCTCGAGCCAAATTCATGTGACTAAACCTGGACCAGTTCGCTCACACATGAAAAGAGACCCCCCGCCCCCCTCCCCACGCTTTATATTCATGAGCCAGTCATCCATGTCTGAAGGACTGGTTCCCTTGACAACCAGGAAGACCCCACCCCTGTCTCATAGCACAGCATATGAAAGCCATCTGTGCAGACCCCTAATCTCCACTACTTACACACGCCCTGATGAGTCTATAGGCTGTGTAGATTTTGAACTAAGATTATTAGCTAGAAGTGATGATCTGGGGAACAAAAGCATTAATCCGTTACTGCTCTGACAGAGATGAGCGGTACTGTGTGTCTGCACAGCATACATCACAGAAACATCATTTGCTTCTTAAAAATGTGAACAAACTGTCCATTTTTGGCTAAACATGCTAAGCTTCAATTTGAGTACAATTTCCATTAATAGATTTTAAAGTTTGTAAAACAATTGGTAGTGTGTTCACTACTATTACTATTGTATGTAGGGGGTTTAATAGTTATTCACCATTTATGACAGCACGTAAAGTTAAAGTCAAACGTTTTTATAGTAATGTATGTTTTATTAAAATAAAAATATGATGTAAAAAAAAACATTTTAACTGCAGAAAAATAAAATGTTATACAATAAGAGTTAATGATCAGTGTTCAACATGAAAAACATGTAAGGCAACAAACTACATTTTCAAGTCAACAAAAGTCCCCCTTAATTAGTGGCATGTCAGCTGATACATACAGTTTTAATTTAGATGGTGCATCAAAGCAAAAAAGATTCTTAACACCATACTTTGACATAACAGGCAGCACGGGAATTAATATTCAAAACTAGCATGATGCATTAACAAAGGCAGAGTAAACTGGCACAGAATTCACATTACAGTACATTAAAAACTAAAACAGCTGCTCTTCACAGGGCTTTTTGACAATGGGCCTGATTCAACTTAAGGCAACAAACACAAAAAACTGACAAATCCCCCTACATCTTCATTCAGAGCAACAGAAGTTAATGTCAATGCAGGTTAGTGTTCATTTTCAGAAGTAATCTTCATAGCTTCCTGGTGGTCGCTGTGAACGAAGGCAACGGTTCCAACAGTGAATGTAATAGAACGATAAGTCCTAATAACTAGTGTTAGCCTCTAAGTCGGTTCATCCCTTTCTGCTAGTGGTGAGCTACTTTTAGTGGTCCTATTTGCAGGAATTTAAGTAATAGTGATCTGAGGTTTTTTTTTTGTTTTCCTTTTTCTTTTTCTGGTAATAGAGGGAGTTTCTTCCCTCTCCCCTGTACTTAACCAGACAAAGAGCTTTAGTAGTCTTCATTTTGAAAATAATATCATCCTTCACATGGTTATATGTGGTTTTGACTTAAAAACCCAAACTTATGATGTTAGCTTTGACCTGTTCTGCGCCATTAGATTTCCTGTCGGTACTTAATGGAGAAGTCAACGCGTTGAGGTCATCCGCCTCTTACTATTGCTGGGTCAGTACAGGGATGTCGATCTCTATGGCTGACATGCGTGAGCGGGTGGAATAGCGGTGGCCGGCGTAGCTGGACGCATAACCCTGAGAGGGAGCGTAACTTTGCGAAGGCGCATAACTCTGTGAGGGGGCATAGCTGTAGGCCTGAGTGCCCCCCACCTCTGATCCATACCCATCTGGAGGAGAAAGCTGAGACACGTACACCTGAGGTGGAGCCGGAGCCACCATACTTTGAGCGTAGCCCTGTGCCGGCACAAAAGGCTGGGTGTCGATCACCGTGGGGGCGTACGTCTGAGGAGGGAACGGCTGGGTCCCGTAAACTGGGGAGGGGGGGTATCCGTTGGCCGTGAGAGGCTGGGCGGACAGGGAGGGAGACATAGAGGGAAGGGGCAACCAGAAGGGCGAGGGTAACTTCTTACACATACAATACCACATAAACATGAGGAGCGCGGCCAGCATTAGTCCTCCAGAGCAGCCTATGGACACATACACAGCGAAACCGTCAGAGAAAATATTGTCATATCTGATGTTCATCTCTTTGGTGCGGAAAAGAAACCACACCGAGGGCGCCATGGCTACGGCCCCCCCCAGTAAGAGGAACATCCCAGCCACCAGGTGACAGCCGGCACTGTTCACTAGGAATCTGGTGGTTTTAATGTCTGGCTCAGGCTTGTCTGAGCAGCAGCAGGTTTTACACATCCCGGCCATGCACAGCAGCAAGGCCAAAGAGCCGAGCATGAAGCCTGCAGGGAGGCAGAACTGCAGGAGCCGCAGATCCAACTGGTCCACTTTGGAGTACCACTGAAACACAAAGAGAAAGAGTTGATTGCTTTTCCAACACGTAAATGCAGCAACGCCTTAGAGAGGAAATCCCACCAAACACTACCTCTGAATCGTAGTAGTAACATCCTGAATAGCCATCTTGCTTCACACATTTAGCCCACAGCCCATCATACACGCTGATATTCTTGGCATTGCGATTGAAGGTGACGAGTCTCGTTACACGCCACTGCGGAACCAAGGCCGCCACAGCGATCCCACCCAAAGACACAAAGGCAATAATGAAGGCAAAGGCGTTGGTGGCGTGGATGTCCCGGCACGACATGGCTGGTTGGCGATGTCAGGAACTGAGGCTGCTCGGAGAGTTCCTGTGTTTGGATAAACAAAGGAAGTAAGACAAATCAGTGGCTGCTTAGTCTTGGCTGAAGCAACGCAGAAGAACTTCAGAAAAGGGACACAGTTACAGAAGTTTATCTGCCTGGCCCCATTACTACTCAAGTACGCTAAGTGTGCCACAGGCTGACCTAGCAACGGGCAACCCCCCCACATTTCTATTCACCACAGTGTAGATGACCCAATATCTGCTGTCCCTGAGAGACAATGCTCTCATTTCATGAGAAAACAAAGTCAGAAAAGACTTGGTGGCTGAGGCTGCAGAGCCGGAGTTTATACAGAGCAGAGCATTACACACACTGCACAGCAGAACAGAGAGCAATGGATTTTAGAGGGCTGAACTTACTATGTGAAAGCACCTAGAGGTGACTGCCTTCCAGCCTGAAAGCATCTGTTTTAATCTAAATTAAATTACTCAAATAAATCAGTTTGGACTCTGTTTGCTTAAAACCAGACAATCACCGGTTTATTTCACTCTTATTAATCATGCTTACAGCTCGTTAAAAATGTTTTTGCTGGCTTGTACACAACAAAAAAACAAACAAAAACCAACAGCCTTAAACAAGTTTTAAGCTTAGTGAAAAACAAATATGATGAAAAACTAGAGGTTCTTGAGGAAGATGCTCCGGTGAGAAAAGTTATTAGTTTTTCTTCTCAGGATTTAGTTTTATTCTGATATGTATAACAGCCATATAACAATGACAACATTTCCCTCAGACAACAGCTATCACAGTATTTAACTACTTCAGTATTATTGTAACAATAATTGACTACTTGTTTGGGATTGACTGATGCTTTTGATGGCAGCTTCCCATTGCACATTTTTATTTACTTTGACTTCCGGACACCAAAGAGGAACATTATTAACCCTGAAAGAGTCTCAATTCTAAAAAAAAAACATATCAGATTTTGTCCACTTACACACTTACTGCATTACCAGACAGGGACGTAATATGGACTGGACAGTTTTAATGAAGTAGAACCTATAACTGTGTCATAACAGGTGTTATTCTTTTGTTCCGTCCATCTCACCGGGTGTGTCAAGCAGCCAAGCTAACTGTCGCTAGTTTTACTAGCTGCTAGTTTCGTACTATGGCTTTAGAATTGCAGTTTCTCAGTCCACTGCCTGAGAGGACAATACCTGTAACAAGTACCGTATATGTGTATTCGTATGCACTGCCGTTCGCTTAAACCGATTGGCTTGAAAACACATAAATGAGCAAATAAGTGACGGGAGACAACAACATTTCACGCTAATTAGTTAGCCTGCTAACCGAGGGCTAAAAAGTTAGCATTGCACTACCTGTTGCATCTAGATTGTTCAACCTGGGCTAAAAATGTATTGATAGTCTTTGATATTGAATAAAATGCCTTACGTGTACCAATGTTCACCGATGTTTATGTCGAAGGCATTTCTACGGGGTCTCTCCACGCAGTCGCCCCTAGATACTTGACCACAAACCTCGTTTACAGTAGATCTGACCGTAAACAAGCTGAGACTGCGCAGTTCGCCCTCGGCACTGACTCACAGGCGGTTAACTATTTCACGTCCGATGTTATTTATCATAACCAACAATTACACACCGTATCAAAAAATATCGGGAGATTTTTGTCAAAATCACTGAATGGATATAAAGTCATATGTTAAGTAAGAGGAAGAGAATTATATCAATCGTAAATTCTGAAACATTTGGTTGAGACACCAACATTTTATCACATTTCTGACTTCCAGGTACAGGACTGTGAAGTGTTTGGTGAGACTTAAGTCTTAAGTGAGACTTCTCAGACTCGTCAGATTTGAGCTTGATTGATGTAAATCCAGCTTTGAAATGTGTGTTTGCGTTTTGCATAATTTCTTTTTTTAATTTCTTATCGAATTTACCTCAGTTTTCAACATAAGTCCTTCTGATTGACCAAACTCTTGCTTCAAACTTATATTAAATGTATGTCATACTATAAATATTAGATTAAGAAATATTTCTTATATCTTATATTTCTTATCTTTATTATTTCTGTCTTGACTCATCTTGTGTGCAGCATCAAAGGTTGAAGAGACTGTTTGGGCACTTGCACATGGCTAATATCTAACTCTCTAAGAAACCTAAACTGAAGTTCCTCTTTTTGTGTGTTTCAGGGGGATGTTCGTGTTCACATGGTATACAAATCTGCTGGACTAGAGGGACTAAATGATCTGTTCAGTGGTAAGTGATAACAAAGAAGTTATTGCAAAATGCATGTTTACAAAAGCAAAAAGAATATTTCAGACAGTCTGTCTGCCTGTTCCAGTTTATATATGTTTTTTCTCACCCTAGGCGATCTACCAGAGCCACCTTTCCCCAGCCCCCCATTTCCTGGGTCAAAAGTTGTTCACTGGCGAAAAAAGAGACAGGTATTTGTTAGGAATGAGTGTATTACCTGGAATTATTGTATGAATGCTGCAGGACTCATAATTATACTGAGTCATCTGGTTAAAAGGTGACTACACAGTTTCCCTTTGGAAAGGTTTTGAGAAAATTTACAAAACCGTGGAATGTTTTCTAGCTCTCCTCCCACACAGAAGTTCTTCAGGCTTCTATTCACTGTATTATCATGAAATATTAATCTCATGAGTTGAGGCTCCCTTCAGCCTCGTCTTTTGAGAGACTTTGTCTGATGCATGCCGCTGTTTTTGTCTGCCCAGTGAGCCTCTCTTTCTTTTCTCTTTGATTTGGTAAATAGACAAATGTGCTTCAGCTTTGCAGAGTTTGTACTTATTTAGATGCAGTTTCTTGTATCTTCTCTGTGTTGCAGGAGGCATATTTCTGTGGATTTTGGTGTTTATAAGTGTATCCAATTGTTAAATACTATAAAACTGTTGCCTCCCTTTAGGCTTCACGTGTATCACGAAGTGTGGAAGAGGAGACCAAATACATTGAGCTGATGGTGATCAACGACCATTTAATGGTAGGATCATTATTGTTGATGTGGGGCTTAAAGTTGACCTATTCTATACTGTTAAACTTTTTACAAGAATACAATATTTCTCAGCCTTTGAACGTTTGTTGCAGATATGTTCCAACACAATTTGTGTCTCCTTGCAAATCTTCGTGTGTACTTTACGAAAAGAATATTTGCAGCCTCATCTTTTGAATTGCACAGTTTTGTATGTGAATGATAAAGAATGTAAACATGCGCATTTCGTTTTCTTATCGTACCTTAAGCAAACCCGGGTTTTCATCCAAACGTGCTGGATGAGACTTATTGGGATATGTTTGCTTTCTGTTAACACAGTTGTAAACAAATGAGTAAACACAGACACTAGCTACACCCAATATGAAATATTTCCGAATCATTAATAATTTCTTTATTTGTTTCCTCTCTCTTTTTTCCAGTACAAGAAGCATCGACTTTCCGTTGGGCACACAAATAACAATGCTAAGACAGTGGTCAATATGGCTGACATGGTAAGAATTATATCGATCTCTTCTTGGAAATCTTGCCACAAACACTCCCAAGGTAGCTGAGCACACACTGCACCAATTTTTCATTTAAGCAATCCCACTGTCTCTATTCGAATCCCATCCTGGCTCATAATGTGCTGTGAGCAGCCATTAACCAGCCAGGTACTGTTTGAATTTTCTGATTTCAGTGGAGGATGCAGCAGTGGTCAAACCGCCTACAAACAGATCAGATCTAGTTGGAATGTCTGTAGTGTTTGCATTGTTACTGAAATCTGACCACCTGCAGGGTCAGGTCTGTAAGATGATAGGCTAGGAAAGCTTGACTAAGGTGATTTCTTTTTGTGGTGCCCTTGCAGACAATCATATGAGGCTCGGTCAGTTTGGGAGGGACACAGTGATTTATAGTGTGACATATTAATTGTTTTGAATTTACATTATAAATAATCTTCCAGATGTTTAGGAAATGTAAAACTTTTCGATGCTCTTTGAAGTTTAGAATCACCATTTTTAAAACTATTTTTGGGTCAAACAAGCATACAGAGCAGCCATGGCCAGGAAATACCACATACTGCGAATCAAATGTTTACAAAGCAGATTAAGATGGAGAGCAGCAGGAGACGTTTCCACAGCCCAGATTGTTCCCTCATTTGATGTGAGGCGGATTTTAAGTTTTCCTCAAGGATGCACCTACTTGACACTGTGAACTGTTACGAAACCGCTCATATCAGACTTATGACACTCTGTTTGAAAGTATACTTGGCCTCTTCTTTGGGGTTTGTTCTCATAAGATAGAAATCTGTGGAAGCCCTGGGGCACAAACATTATTATTTGTCCTTCAGACAGATACCTTTGTTGACTGTCTGATCTCATGAGATGCGCTGCTGTCTGGTGGCAGGATCGCTCACGCTGTTTGACTACTGTCACAGTGGGCAGCTGGAGATGTTAATGAGTATGAAGCACACCTGTCAGCTTTGATTCTGCTTAAGCCTCATAATTCTGGATTTTCTGTGGCGCTTTCAGTCACAATGACTTTGAAGTTAAAGTTTTATGACTTTCAGAAGTTAATGTTGAGCTCTCATCTGTCAGATTTTCAGGGAACAGCTCAATACCCGGATTGTGCTTGTCGCCATGGAGACCTGGTCAGCTGACAACAAGTTTAACATCGACGACGACCCCATGGTGACGCTCAAGGAATTTATGAAGTACAGAAAGGACTTCATCAAGGAGAAATGTGATTCTGTCCACCTCTTCTCGTAAGTGTTTGGGGTTAAAAGAGCAGCTCAGTCGGTTTCCTCTTCATTAAGCACATTTTGTTTTTGTTTGTTCACAGAGGGAATCGCTTTCACAGCAGCTGGGGTGGTGCCTCTTATATGGGCGGCGTTTGTTCTCTCACTAAAGGAGGAGGGGTCAATGAGGTGAGGCTTGGTATAAGCACAGATAGAAATGGTGCAAGAAAGCCGCCCAAAAAAAGGAGATTGACAGTATATGGGAATTTCATGAAGGCAATAGAGCAGCAGGAATATACCATACACCTCAGGAAGAACAAATCTCTGTTTCTAAGTGGGTGCCAAAACATAATTCAATACAGACTACAAACAACACGGAGTTCACTGTTTTTATCACATATTACTTCTCTGGTCACTGTTGGTATCTTCTATTATTGCAATATTCAATCTCCGGACAAAGTCAATAATCTGCAAGTCAGCTTTTACAAACATTTCCTTTTCGTCTGTCTTTGTCAGTATGGTAAAACAAATGAGATGGCCATCACCCTTGCTCAATCTCTTGGACAGAACATTGGTATTTTCTCTGATAAGAGGAGGATCCTCAATGGTACGCAATGAAAACTTTAAGTACTTTGTATACTTTAAAGGAATCTTATAGCCTCATTTTAATGCATAAACACATAATTCTTTTTTCCAGGAGAATGCAAGTGTGATGATCGATGGGCAGGCTGTATCATGGATGACGTTGGGTAAGTTGAATTAAGGCAGTCTTTTCTTTTTCACCTCACATCAACAGTATTTTAGTCTTTCACAAACAGGTGAATCAGTTTCTCTCACACTTATCAACTGATCAACTTGGTAATTCTCCAGCTTTTTCTCTAAGTTTTTTCCTTTTGAATTTTATTAATAAAAGGAGGTATAAATCTTTTTATTACCTAATATTATATTAATTATATTGTATTATTATTGTATAGTAAAAGTTTACCACTAGGTGTCAGCATAGGTACATTTAATGTACCCGCCTGTTCATATAAATCCAGCTCTCTGAGCAATAAGCTCCTTTTTATAACTTAATCACAAGCTAGATGATAAATCAGCCTGTGTATTTGTTGTGTTTTCATGCAGGTATCATGACAGATTACGTCTTAAAATGTGTTTCTGTGGTGTACAAGCTTGCTTGGCATTGTGAGCATAAGGGTGTGAGTGTCTGTGAATACTGTAGGTGTGTGTGTGTGTTATGAGTTTGTGAGTGTATGCACATGTTCTTAAATACCTCTTGCGTTCCCCCTCTATCCCGAATGGGACAGCAGGTGAGCAGAAGCTTGCTACAGCGTTGCTTGTGCTGGTTTTAAAGCAACTGGCTGCCTCGGAGGGGGTTGTCAGTCATCACAACCTTTCCCATTTCATCAAACGACACCACATCCACTGTGGCCCCAGCTTTTCTTTCTGATAAGATGATATGAACAAATACAGTTTGACGGACTGTTTAGTAATACCCTGGCTGTATTTTTCATAATCTCTTTGGACAGTTTCACATTTATATATTGTGTATTCTTCAACATTTGGTTGATGTCACTGGCTGATGAAGAAAGAAAACGTTCTTTTTAGTTTTTGAAGTGTTAAAAGGCTTCTTTTCTGCTCTCCCCTTTGAGAGTTTTGACTTCTCATCAGTAACTTTTATGTAACCGATTGATACAGTCTGCAATGTCATTCCCATCCTGTGTCAACACTACACTCCCCTGACATTTCCCACTCAGATCCTGTTCAACTGGACCACAACATGCCTGTCCAAATATGATGCGGTCACATGACAGAGGACAGGTTATTCTTTCAGTCTGTCACCTGTAAATGGACCAAGCCACATTTTTTTCATTGGTCAAAATCAAGTCAATGGTATTTCAGACATTTGTATTCAATGAGCAATCTCAGCCACGTCCAGTGATGAAAGTTTATCTCGTCCCTCAGCACCTGCATGCCTGATTTACTTAACCACATCTTAACCACTAACTGTTCCCACATCTCTCACATTGTTTTCACAGGAGAAAGTTGCCGTGTGCTTTTTTCAAAAGTATTTTGTAAAAAAGTATTTGTCTTTGTACAAATATGCTGCATGTGCTCCACCACACAGCGCACATGTGGCAACTTTTACAGCACTCTTACATTTATTTTGGAGCTGCAAATCCTAACTTCAACTTGTGTAAAAACTAGACCAAAAAAAAGTTTTTAAAAAAAGTCAAAGTTTGAGTTAGGATTTACTAACACTTTTAAATGCCCATGAATAAATCTAATCAAAATAAGTATTTCAAAGGGTATAATGTTGCAAAATAAAGATTTCTGTTCCAAAGTATCTCAAAAATCTACTTTATTGTAAACACACAGACATACAAAAAAACGCTTTTTGGTGATGGCTGAATGTGGCTCAGTGTGATTCGAAATGTTAAAGAGAAGGCAACTGGACTTGCTGTACCTTGTGACCCATCTGACCACTATGTTGGTTGCTTGGGATTATGACTGTGGCTTGTGTATGCGCACAACCATCATGTGTTCTGTTGTCATCACCGAGGTGGTAATTGTCGTGAAGGAGTTATAGACATCTCAAAGCTGCAAAACATGTGGTTTTGTAGACACTCTGTAATCTCTGTCCGGAATGCGACATTATGCCCTCAGTTGGCCACTGACTTTTAACCAGAGGAGCTTGTTTCTCATTCTTTGTCTTCCCTAACACATGTCTGTGCACACCACTAAATTGCATGCACAATTATTTAGTTGGTTTTTGAGTGTTATAGCCTCCATTTCTCGCCAACATTCACCAGTTCATGTCTGAGAATTTAGAGGACTTTTAGCACTCTTAGGTGCTTTTTAGGTGAGCGATTGCTGCCTTCAACTGCCTTCTTCTCAAGTTGTCAACATAGCCATGACCTGATCTATACAAGAACACAATTTCTAGTGCTGCTGTGTCTCCCAATATCCACCAGGAGGCCATAAGCTGACTGTAAATACATTTGCATTCTTGAGTAGCTTCGTTACACAAGCATTGTATTTGATAAAAATTATTCTTAAATAATAATGTGATACTTATTCTGAGTCCATATTATCGTGTGCTCCAAAAAGGAGAGTATATTTCATACTTATTAAATGTATGTGGCAACAACTGTACTTATTTTCAATGGAGTCACTCCAGCATGTTTCATCTTTGTTTCCCTCTGTTACTTTTTTTTAAAATGATGAAAAGTGCTACAATTTGATGACATTCAGTCTTGCAGTAGATTCAGAAACCAAAGATGAAAATGCCTCATAAATGCTGATTCATTTAGAAGATGTTTCATACCGCACGTCATCTGTCAAAGCATCTCTTCTGACACCTTGTGTTAATGATCATCATCATAGTAGGTGGATCCATGTGGTTTAATCATATGTGAATCAACTTCTCAAAGCCTTTGACTCCCCTTTCTTTGTTATTGCATTGTTGTTTAAGTCCTGATGGACAACAGCACCAAAGCCAGTCTAGTAAAAAGTGTTCCTCCACAATGATCAGGATAAAACTTGACAATGCTGCGGGAAATAATTATACCTGTCTTTGTTCAGTTGGGTCTCATTCAAAGATCAGACAGGTTGCTTCACTTTTAACTGTAACATTTCGCTCAGTGTCAAATGATTTTTTCAACTTAATTTTATTGGCCTTTAATTGGCCTCGAGGTGACTGTATCATTTGGTTAAACTATAACCTCAGATTTATTGTTTAGCTGTGACAGTGGGACCTTGGAGTGGGCTAGACTATGATTAGGAGATGGCATGGTATCAAATGATAATGCAATAACAGTGAATCATTAACAGGATTCAGTTGTATCAAATGCATCAAAGAGTAGATTTTACATCCTACATGCATCATCATGTGATTCCCACAATGTTAGCTGTGCTGCATATCTGTCCCCGTCTAAATGTAGGGATGCTCTTCTGAACTGTGAGTATGGTTATCCGGTGCTAAAAACATCTTGGGTGTGTGAATAGATAACACAAAACTTCCATGCATATAAATTCATTAATGAATAACAGTGGTATAAATGAACACGTATCTTTATAGAATGGACAGAATATGAACTTTGTCTCTAGTTATAATTTCACAACCCAACCTCACTCAGTAATTTATTGGATGCTCTTTGTTTTCTGTTCTTGATAATGGCAAAATGTACTGTGGTTGTATTGAACAGTTTCTACCTGCCTAAGAAGTTCTCTGACTGCAACGTGGGGGAGTACCACAACTTTCTAAACAGTGGTGGAGGGGCCTGTCTCTTCAACAAGCCTCTGAAGGTGCACTAACACACATTTACACTCTATGTTTTGCCAAACAAAACAATTACAACAAATGGACGAGATAACAAATGTTAAATCTGAAAAATATTTTAAATGATGCTGCTAATGTGTCGTGAACAAGCTGTGATCATCTGACACAATTTGCAATGGACAAATCAAAGAATCCACACACAGTATGCAAAAAGCCTAATCTCTTTTAGGATGACACAGCTCTGTAGGAATATGAGACAAAGGAGGCCCTGAACTGTGAAGCAATTAGTGTTACAACCTTCATTTACATTTTACATCATGCCCGAAACCGGTTGGAAACATGAATGTAAATACAAATTTTTGCTCTTTCTCTACTCAGCTGCTGGACCCTCCAGAATGTGGCAATGGCTTTGTGGAGTCAGGAGAGGAGTGTGACTGCGGGAGTCCAGCCGTGAGTTTAAGCCCTAAACCCGAATGAATGAATCCTACAAGACAAGTTTATTATGACTTTTAAAAAAAGAAATCGATATGACTAAAGCCACATGATCTGGGCTAGTCACCCAACAGCAGAATGTTGTGTCAGACATAGTCCTGCAATATGTAATTTGGGTGGAGAAATTAGAGCGTTTTGTCTTAACTCGGCCACAGAGATCCACCGCAGAGACCTCTTGATGAATTATGAAATAACTCAGACAGGGCAAAAATTCAGACACGTTTCTCTCTCCATTGTAGGAATGTGCCAGAGAAGGGGAGAGCTGCTGTAAAAACTGCACCCTGACAAAAGGCTCCAACTGTAGCAACGGACTCTGCTGCAATAACTGTCAGGTACAAAGCACACAAACAACCAGAGAAAAGCAAACAGAACAACAGAAAAAAACTAAATGTACAAAATTTTAGCAAAAATGCTGCTGTTAAAGTCTGAGCTCAGCCACCTGGCACCAACAGCAACATGTTTCAAGTACATCTTCAGTCTTTGTTTTTTTTTTAAAGACTCCCTTTAACAGATTAAATTGCTTTAGCTGCTGTTGAGTGTCTCCACGATGAACTCTGAGTGGATAGACAGGAAAGATCGGTGACCATGTGAAGTTTAAGGTGAAAAGACAAGAAGAGAGTCTCTTTCACTGCTGAAGTCTGCATGATACTCAGCTCCATCTCAAGCCTAAAAGTGCCTGCAGCCTGTTTGATCTGCACTCTATGCTGCTTCAGATGGAGTTCATGGGAGTTGTGTGCCGAGAAGCTGTAAATGACTGTGACATCCCAGAAAACTGCACGGGCAATTCCAGTCAGGTGAGGATGAACCACTTTCATGCTGCCCTTTGCAGTTGTCCCCGTTAACATTATGACCCTGAGGCTTTCTGTTTCTTTTAGTGCCCACCAAATGTGCACAAGATGGATGGTTACACATGTGAAAAAGATCAAGTAAGATCTCTATATGGTCTAAATTGAAAGGTTTGGGTACTTCTGTGTGTTTTATTGTAATTGGCTGTATTTATCTGTGTAGGGTCGGTGCTTTAACGGAAGATGCAAAACCAAAGACAGACAGTGTAAATACATTTGGGGAGAGAGTGAGTGCAACATTCTGTCACGTGATCTTTACAAATGAAACCAGCACAGTAGCTGGTAGCTGGTACGCGATATACTTAAAGTTGGCTTTGCTGGTCTCTCTCAGAGGCAACTGCCGCTGACAAGTTCTGCTATGAAAAGCTCAACATCGAAGGGACAGAAAAAGGCAACTGTGGCAAGGACAAGGACACCTGGATCCAGTGCAACAAACAGTAAGCCCGTCCTCTCTGTGACCCACGTCTGTGACGCTCTGGGTTATACTCCCCAGGTGATCAGAGCTCACTACCTCCCGTTTCAGGGACGTTCACTGTGGCTACCTGCTGTGCTCCAACATCTCACCTGCGCCACGTTTGGGAGAGCTGCAGGGAGGGCTGACCTCTTTCTCAGTGGCCCAACACAGTGCTTCTCTGGACTGCAGGTACACAAAACTAAGAAAACAAAAGTTCAAGCCCCCAAACTAGCTGAAAAACAAACAAACATACAACCTATTGTAAAAAAAAAGAAAATGAAAAAAATTGAAAAAGAAGTCCCTCCACCAAAATAACATAGTTTCAGAATCATATAAGCAGGTTTCTTCTACCCAACACAATGTTTCTCCTGTTTACTGTTCAGCGGTGCTCACGTGGTGATCGATGGTGACACTGACCTGGGATATGTGGAGGACGGGACTGCCTGTGGAGCAGACAGCATATGTTTCAATCACAAGTGTCTCCCAATTCAACAGTTCAACTTCAGCACCTGTCCTGGAACCACTGACAAGACTACCTGTTCTGGACATGGGGTACACCTCAGGGAAAACACACACACAAACATTTGTTTTTATCCGTAGCTGTAACTGCCATTGAGTTTCGCTCAGGGCTGTAAAAGCAATGCCTGTTCAGGATGTACTCCAATGTAACCCTACTATCAATAAGCCTTATAGACAATGGATGGATGCTTTTTATATTATACTGTTATCCCTACAACAGATTAGGCAGGGGTAACTTTTGTATTTGCCTATCTCATTCAAAAGTGATTACAAAAGAGTGTAAAATGTTTTTCATCTTAGTATGTTTTCATTCCGTAGGTGTGCAGCAATGAGCTGAAATGTGTGTGTTACCTGGGCTGGACAGGAGACGACTGTAACTCCATGTCTCCATTCAGCTATCTCGTGGTGGGACCCATTGCCCCTGTTTCAGGTACAGGTTTTAACACGTCCTGCTTCCTCTCTTCAAACCTTTCTTTGAACCCCTTCTTTCAGTTTTTGTTCTTTCTTGAAAACATTCAGCACTGCACCTCATCCATTGTACACTTCACTCTGTTCAAGTCTCTTCAGTTTTCTTAGCCATACTACTTCCTTTCACCAATCTTTAGATACTGCTATGAAACCTCTTTCTTTATATGTTGCATTTCTGTTTATCTAAGCTTCTGTGGTGGGCTCATTAAACCAGCCGCATTTGTATTCACTAAACCATGCACGTCATTTTTTTTGTTTGTCATTATTTTCACACTCATTCTTTGTCGACAGGCTGATGTCTTTGACGGAGTGACTTGAGGTCAGATTTGAGTTCCTTTTTCACTGTATTTGTCCTGTCTTTGATGTAATTTCCTTATCCTCATCCTTTCATACCAGTTTCATTTCAGCACAACAGTTAATCATTACCCTTGTTAAACATAAACTTTCCAAGTCATTGTTCCCATAAAGGGGACGCTGATGCACATGTAAGTTGCACTCAGAGTAGTAATGACAGGGGAGGGCAGTTTGGTGTTTCCCCATGTCCTCCTCCAAAACCTTTCCTGCTACATGTTTTGTGCTTTTGTGTTCTGCAGCAGTGTTTTGTGGTTTATGTATATCCCCATGTGTCTATATCACTCACAACTCCAGAAAAACACATGTAACCCACACACTCGGCTCCCCTGTCCCCTCTCTTTCTCTGTCTCAGGTGTCACCAGTACCAACATCATCATCGGAGCCATAACAGGTTCCATCCTCTTCCTCGCCCTAATCCTGGCCGTTACTGCCTGGTGCTATAAGTGAGTGTCCACCTGGTTGAATGAATGATACCCTCCATTTTACAGTCGATCCTTTTAAAAAAATAGCCACTGTAAAACTTTGATAAATTATCTGTTGTTTTTGCAGGAGCTACAAGAAGAGACGTTACGTCGAGTCTGAAGTTCACCGAAGATTCTGCCGGTTTGCGCAACTGAACTTTTTATTTGTAGACTATTATCATTCCATGGTTACATTCAAACTTATTTCTCATTTGAGCAGTAACTTTTACTTGCCATGGTATACGGAAAAAATCCTGCTTTCAGGCTTTAAACCTGCTTGAGAAAAAAAAAACGTAATTTAATCTCAAAGGGTTAGTTGTTTTGGTTTAACTTGAACTATTCTGAATGAAACTGGTAAGGTAGCATTTTTAAGTATTGATACTGTTCTTAAAACACAAACTTTGGTGATCTAAAGGGAGTGGACACCATTCTGTAATAGCTTACACTCACTGTGATGCTCACACATCACATTTATTGATTTTCTTTGCCATCATCCTGACATCAACCACACATGTAACATTTTTGACAGCTTTATTATTTGTCCTCTTAACCAGGTTTTTCTGAAGATATACACACTCAAAGACTCATAGAGTCAAACAGTAATACATCTAGCTCAGAAACTGATGGAAGTTGCAGGATATTTGTATAACTGAAAACTAACACACATCACATATATATTCTTTTAGGCACTTTTAGGCAGAATATTTAAAGTATCCATCCCGCAAGTTGTCATCCACTTAGATGGGATTAAAATTTGCAATAAAGAATGCAAATTTAGAAATGTATATATTGTTTCAGAACAAGAAATATTTTGGGAAACAGATTGAAGTGTGAAATAAGTACAGATGAGGAGATTATGGTGGAAAATATTAACAATATTAACAAGCAATATTTCGTCAATGTTATAAGTTAGTGATCAATGAGCGTCTGCAGGATGCCTCTTCTCTGTATGGGGGCTCACTTCCATATCATCTGTATTTCCAGACAAATCCCCCCAGGTGACTATGTCACCAAGCCTGGGGATGCAGATTCGTTTTACAGTGACATGCCTCCAGGCGTCAGCACAAACTCCGGATGCAGCTCCAAGAAGAGGTCAGCCTGCCTGTCGCACCTGCAGATTTGCACCTTGTCCTTCACTCCTTCCATCCCATTCATTTCTCAGAACATCTCAGTGTTTGGCTTCAGGTGTGCCATCTCATCATCACACGTTCATTTGCTGGCAATCCTATGAGTCTGCAATGAATCCTAGATGTAGATCTTGTGTAGATCTGTTTTGCTTTGCCGTCATTAGTTTTTTCCTGTCAATTTAGTTTTTCCTTTACCTTTGTTGACAAGAATCAAAATGTACAAATGTGTAAACGGACTTGACTCCGCTCTATAATCAATTCCTCATATCATTTCAGCAGTCATTACATCATCATAATTTCTTACAGTTTCCTCTGCCTTTGTGTGGTTCTCACAAATGCCCCAGACTCTCAGCTGAACTGATCTGTGCTGTATGTATGTACGTATGTAGGTCTAATGGCCTGTCCCACTCATGGAGCGAGAGAATCCCAGATGCCAAACACATTTCTGACATCTGCGAAAACGGGAGACCGCGAAGCAACTCGTGGCAAGGTAACACACTGATATCCACTGGTTTCTGAGAGAGAGCTGAACCAGTCAGGGAATTTTCGGCTTCCATCAGGCGGCAAACTGAAGAACTTGCTTTTTCTTGCTCTGTTGTTGATTACATATTTTCACATTTCATGAGTTGTTTGCAACAGTGTTTGTTTGCACTGAATGCATGTTTATGACTTATACAGCCAGCTGAACAAAAATCTGTTCCTCTGGGGATTTTCTTGACAAATCAATATAACAAATGATTATCATGAGCCTAACCACTGCTGTGTCATGGCGAAATAGACACACCCTCCACTAAAGGTTTCCTTTTTACCTGTGCATGTTTTTATTTGAAATGTACATTTATCATGTTTTTCTGCAGGAAACCTGAGTGGTAATCGTAAGAAGCTCAAAGGGAAGAAGTTCCGTGCTCGCTCCAACTCCACAGAGTAAGTTCACTGTGGACGAGTGTTGCTCTTATTTTCTGCAGAAAACTGATGAGAACAGATCAGGATTTTCAAAAAGAAGTAGATATGCCAGGTACTGCTCTTGGTTTTGTAGATTTTAATTTAAAAAATCCAATAGAGAAGAGATTCATGAAAAGAGACTATATATTAGACTTTTTGTGGTTTCTGCTGAAGATCTTTGTCAGCATAAAAGATTCAAATGTATTGTTTTGTGTAAAAAAACAAAAAAAACGAACAAACAATGAACTTTCTTTTTTGTTGATAAGCACATGATGCTCAGGAATACAAAAGTGAGAAGATTCAAGTTATGTTGTTTTTCTTAAATTAGATTTGTTGGCTGTAAGCAATAAAGAAGATTTTTGTTTCTAACATCCTTATGGAGGATTACCATTAAGAGAAAAGATTGAAGCACTGTATCGCATTGAGCCTCACAGGTGGTCAAATTACATTGCCCTTCTTGTCGGTGTGACACTCTACACTTTTGCTTGCCTTGGAAGCTTTACTGCACCTCTCAAATCTTTAAACCTCAGTCTGAGCCTCTGAATAAATATGAAGTATTTGCATTCATGCTTAGTGATCGTGAATGAACGAGGAGCTGTGTGCATCGGCTGTCTCCCAGCCTGCCGTGTTTGTTTGAAGGTCTTTTTTTTTTGCCCGTGAGGTATTCTGTGGTGTGCCTGTTCTCACTATGAGCATGCTACTGACTGAGTGATGCAAGCTGACTGCTTGGAATGATGCGACCAATATGCAACTGAGCCTGTAACACGCAACACAGTTGTTTGTTCGTGGTGCTGTTTTCATCTGAAACCACGCACAGGTCTGTCAGCCATTTTCACCATTTTCTCAATCGCATCTTGTTTGGAATCTTTGCTCTGCTCTGCTCTGCTTTCCTAAAATATTTCCTCTTCCTCTCTCCTCCCCTTGCTTATTTCTGGAGATTTTCATTTCTCTCTTTCCTTTTCTCTCTTCTCCCCTCCTTGTGTTGTTTCCATGACCTCCTCCTCCCCCACCCCCACCCACTCCCCTCCAACAGGTATTTAACCCCTCGCTCCAAAGCAGAGATTTATGATGTAACTAAATGGGTAGAAGATGTGAATAAAAACACTTGTGGACCCTTTCTTAGGTATTACCACAGACCATGTCCTGTATCTTACACACATCTGTAAAGCACCCTAACTGGTTTATTTTGTGGTTTGAAAAGCATTATTAAATGGGCATCAGGTACTTTCTACAGAAGCTTAACCTGATACAAACCTGACATGTTGAAAGTTAAACACTTAAAGGTGTTTCAACCAAGCATCCAGAAAAGAGTGAAGACATTTTGTTTTCTATTCAGACTGTTGCTTTTTAGAAAGCAAGTTTTTCATTTACAGAAGAAATAACAGCTTTCACACCCTGCGTTAAAACTATAAAATGGTCATTTTCTTCTTTTTTTTGCTTACTTCCCTTCTTTGCTCCCTCTCCCTTCTCAGTCTCTTGTTACCTCTGCATGCTCAGTGTTGTTCTGTCAGTAAGTGTTTGTGTTTCAGCCTCGCCTCGCTCTCTGTGGCTCTATGAGCATCAGTATGGCGTCATTGCAGACTCATTTTGGGTGCTGCTCTGACATCATCGCTGTGCTGTTGTGACAAAGTGTGAGACAACTCGTATCCAAGGTCTATAGATAATTGAAAACATGAGCTTTCCTTAACAACAAGGACAACCATGAAACAGGGACCGTATTTTACTCATCAACGCTTTACCTGCTCTAGCATCTATAGACCGTCTGTGTGTTCAGGAGCCCTTTCTTTACCCTTAATGTTCTAAAACGTCTACTGAAACATAGGGACAGAGCAAAAGAATGGAGAGATATGGTGCTGTACATCAGGCAGCCTGGACAGAGAACAATGCTCATATGTCTTGCCCTTGTTTTTTTGGCATTTAAATCATAAGTTAGCAGCTATAAAGAGCAGACGCACGTTACTTAAATGGAATCAGTCACAAGCGCAACACAAAGCCAAAGAAAAAGCTCTGGAATTAGTCTAAAACTGAGTCCCACTCAATAATGAGTGTTTTCACACGTAAAAGCTTAATAGAAGAACACGACAAAAAGTATTTCGTGAATCTCCCATAAAAATGTAGTTAATACATGAATTTATTGAACTTCTGTCCCCCATTCCATTCTCTCCAGTCCTTTAGCCTGTCCGGTTTTGCGGGAGGTGCAGATGTACAAGCTGCTGATCCTCAGCACAGTGGTGCTTAAAAGCTTCTGAATTTACCAGGATTTTCTATATTGCTGTATCAGTGTGACCTAATAGGTCAACAGATTCAGAAGTTCAGAAAGTTGGCAAAGAGAACCAAACTAAACAAATGAATAAAATTGAACTTGGTCATTTATTGCCCCTTAAAGAGCAGCTTCAGCTTCAGGGAGTAGCTGTGCTTCTGCAGAGATGTAGAATCGTTTATTTCTATAGTTCTTTCCATTTTTCTTGTAACTGTGGACATACTACTATACATTTTAACAACTCATGGACTATCAAACTTCCTTCCTAGCTCTCGGAATGAATTTAGCTGATTGACCTTTTTTTCTCATTTGCTTTACAATCTGACTAATGGTGGACTGCAAAGACTCACATTAACTGCAATACCTTGTAGTTCAGAGACAACTGTAGCAAAAATAATATATAATGATAAAGATAATTATCTGTATCAAATAGATGACCACATATTTGTTTGATTTGGTTTTCTCTTTAGAATAATTGTAAATGTTTAGGTCATGTTTATAAAAGAATAAGACAAATCTATTCAAAACTTTCAAGCATCACTACATGTTATTTATTCCCCCAGCTCTGGTCTGGTCTGCCCTCCAGGTCATTTTATTGTACTCACTGCCTTCAGCATTCAATCATTTAAACACAGAGACTGTTCAAACCTATCAGCTTAACTTCAAGCATCATTCTAGCTAATATTGTTGCAGTGTCACTTAAAGTGCCGTGAAGGGCTGAATTATGTGTTCCAGCAACTACATCTGCCCACATCGCAGCTGGGGAACCACTTGGTAAAAAAGTTGCTCCTAAAAGTCCAGACCTTTGTTTTGTCACCATCTTTAGCTCTTTTTGAGCAGTAGAAAGACTTTTAAGTGCAACTTTAAAGAGCATCTGTCCATAGGAAGGTGACATTTGAATAACTGGAGCAGCTCAAGGAGGATGTTGACCAAAGTCACAGATCCAACATGATGGACAACTGATCAGCATTCTGGATCTAATTGTATTTATTTATAAATCTGTGTCTTTGGCCAACTTAATCCCATATGAGTTAAAAAAAAAGAAAAAGCAACAGTTTAACAATATCACCTCCTCTTTTCTTCAGGACACTATCCCCTGCCAAGTCTCCCACTTCCTCTACAGGATCCATTGCATCTAGCAGAAGATACCCGTATCCTATGCCTCCGCTTCCCGATGACCAGAGGAAAGCCAACAGGCAGAGTGCCAGGGCAAGTATCTACAAACTAGCTGCAAACACTGCTATAAATCTGAAACTGAACCTGAAGACATCTTAGATCGACCTAACATGGTTTCATTTTAACTAGGGGCAGGGACTAAATGATTATTTACTAATTTTTGTCCTGAAAATACTTTTTTTTTGCTCCAGCCATAATTCCAACAAAATTTGGTCATTTTGCATTTGATCAAAGTTGTTGTTGGTTGGCTAATGAAGAACATTTACTAACATACGACAAACTTAATCCTTCAACAGGCGACTTTGTGGTGACTATATCCATTTCTTTATGGCCTGCATTGTTAAAAAAGGGGCTTGACATAGTGTGTGTAAATTAGTTACTACAGTGTGTATTACCAAGCAGAAAAAATTGTGGCTTCAAAAGAAGAGGCAACTGACTGACCAACAGTGCACTACCAAACTCTAAAATCTCTTTTTTTCCCCCCCTCCCTTCTGTGCCCTCCTCTCTTACTCTCAGCTGTGGGAGACCTCAATATAACAGCCCACTCTGCAAAAGCCCTTGAAGAGCTGAACGTCTCCTTTACAAAGAACGGACAAGACAAAAATGAAACAAAATTGACTCTATGCTTTTAAAGAGAAAGATAGAGAGCCCCCACTGGACAGTAAATAGACAAAAGTCTGTTTGAGTTACTGTGTATGAGTATTTGAGGCTGTCTTGCCAGATGGCGTCTCTACAAGACAATGTGGAGAAAGTGACTCCACATCCACTCCAGAGCTGCTGGAAGTCAGACTGAGCTGTTCCCGTCTGCTCAAGCCTAACAAATGGGACAGGAACCCGGCCCATACACTCCAACCTCGCACACCTCTTCTCCGCTCGGCTTCCGCTCTCTCAAGGAGCGAGCCCTCGCATCACTCCACACTTAGAGAATTCTGTGGGATCCTTTTCGAAGCACGTGAATCACTGTAGAAAGTCTAACACTGTATGCATGATGCTGTTTTGCAGCAACCTCCTTCGGCTGAAAAGAAGAAAAGGCAGCGGTCTGACACGAAGCAAAAGCATGTGAGAGGGCACTGATTTTACACCTTCCGTAGGGCTCGAAGCTTTTCCTCTCTAAAGTCACCCTTTTTGTACCACCGTTTAAAGCCCCTGACTCACAACTTGGCTCACTTTCCCTGTACGTTTGACGGTGGGTGTAAATATGTATAAAATTCGCAGAGTATGTTTTTGCTTCTTTTTTGTTTTGAAAGAGACCGTAAAGAGAATACTCGGCTCTCTTTTTCTCTGCTGAATTGTGCTGTGGATGGAAGCGGATGTCTGTAGATAATTGTAAAGACCCCTGCAGTAATTTTTCTGCCAGGACTTCTTTTTTTTTGTCCTTCTCATTTCCACCTTTATAGCTTTTTCCATCCACAACAGAATGTTTCTGTTCCTGTTTTTTTTATATAAGCTCTATTTGTCCATCTCTGGGAGAAACACGTCGGCGCACAGTAACGTCGACTGAGGCCTATTAAGAGTGTTTCTGGGATGGTTTTTTGATGAGTGTTAATTTAGCAAAGTTGAAATTGCTTTATGTGCCATTTCTGAGTGATGTGAATGGACTGAAATGTGTGTGTTGTAGTATATAGACATGCAGCCAGTCGCTCGTGTGGTTTGGGAAATTTCCCAGTGATCATGAGAATTTGTGTTTCCCCTTGTTCTACATTTAGGCAGAGTTTCTACCCAGTACGGCATCATTTCCACAGCGACACCAGGTCCCTTTAACATGAGGTGAAGAGGTGAATGTGGTTGATAACTGAACTTGGACAGAATCTGAAAATTGCGATTTAAATGTGCGCTTTTGATTTAGCTGTGAAGATTGAGATATTTAGCCCTGTAAATGATTACCTATGCTGTACAGTGCTTGCTGCTGGAGCTTACGAAGACCAACAGCATGACAGCTCTACATCTAATTTAAGTTATATCTCCATAAGGCTATTTTTGGGACTATAACGGGAAACAAGCATGTCATTGAAAGACTTTCTCCCTCATTACTGATTCCTATTGTAGACCTTTTGTAAGCCTAATCTGGACAGCAGGCAGTCATTTGATCAGGGCAGTGCTGAACTGTTGTCGCATCAGTGCGGCTTGAGGGCCTTGGTGACGACTCCCGCTCCCCAACAGCAAGTTCTTTGTACAGTTATAACTCATTGTTCTATCTTGTAACAAAACTGTTGTCCTAAGGCCTAAAGTTTGTCATTTTACTGTCGTTTATGTTCCATTGTGGGCACATTTGTAATTTGTGTATGCATTAGACCTGGTAGATAAAGCATCATTCACAATAATTGACCGATACTGCTTCTTGTATCTTTGTTTATCTTTTTTTTTTTAAATGAGTCCCATAATAAAGTCCACTTTTTCTCTACATTATGTACAGCAACTATTCAAACAGAAATTAAGTGCATTATTCTAATGATGTGTGCTGGGTTTGAAATGATACTTGTTTAGTTTTTTTAAAAGAACAAGTTTGCTCTCTAGCTTGTGTTTTTCAGTGTGAGCTACACGTCTGAAATGAAACCCACACAGGCTTAATGTTTGCCTTCAGCCAGAGCTTTCAGCAGTGCTTTGGTATTAACTTTGGCTCCTGTCTTTTTCCTGGGTTACTCCAGTCAGCTGGACGTCACCTCCAAGTTCCTGAGAAATAATTGACATAATCCTGTGCTCCATGTTACGCCACACAGCGGTCTGAGGGTCTATGCGTGCTGTAGGGATAACTTGGACTGTGCAGCGTTAGTCCTACAAACATGTGTGCAGCACAACCATCTGGACTCACCCATCTTGACAAGACCCCTTTGGCAAAAGTCCGCATAAAAAGTGAGCTGACTCTGTCTCCAGAAACTTGAATGTATTTGTGTACCACAAGCACAGAAACCACCTGGTCTCAGCCATGTGCGCCCATCGTGAACAACTCATCGGTCCTCAGCTCCAGAAACCTTAAGGACCAGTTGAGGCACTGCATTTGTCCTTTTTATTCTTTTTTTGCTGTGTAATGTACAGACTATTGCAAAAATCAACCCACATATTTTTTCCTCTTAATCATTCAGTATTGTAATATATTTAATATAAAATAAAACTTTAATCAACACATTAATGTTGACGTTTATTTTTTTCAGGGCGCAGTTTTTACTGGCACATATTCATTGGCCTCATTTCATACTTATTACATCTATAGGGGGTAGAGCGTTTGGGTGAGAAGAGTGAGACTAACGTTTCTCTAATAAACAATCTGACAGAAATATATAACATCAAGCTTAATTACAGTGGATGAAGCAGAAAAGAGGTTCTATGTCATTATCTGTACCTCACCTGGCAACTTGATCACCGGCAAACCAGAGAAGGAATCGGAGCCACATTGTTTTAATGATATCTCAGCAGTGAGCCTTTCAGATTTGATGTGGACTTTTTTGCAGCATGAAATGTTCTCTCATAAGTGAGCATCCATAATGGTCACAGAGGATTAATCAAGGTAAAGTCAGACACCAAAGACTTACACAAAAGGTCAAACTTTTTTATTTAAATTTTAATCATTGACAAGTCTTTAATGTTTCCTGAAGCCTAATGAAAAATGGTCATTTGCATAGTACAAACTACATGACACAAAATAAACTTAATCTGATTTTGGGCTTTGCTAATCTTCTTTTTCTTTTCATTTCACTTTATGGATATAGACAAAAAGCAGCTTTAATTCTGCTGTAATAAGAGATAAAAGCAGTAATGGAGATTTCTGAGTCAACTAAGACACGAAGACCAGAGACATCAGTGGCACCATCATCAGCAGCAGTCCAGCACTGGAGCTGCTGGCGCTGTTGCAGAGCTCACCCTGGCAGCAGCTAATACCCGCACGGCTAGTGGGTCCTGGCAGAAATGCCCTCTGTGCCGTGGGAAGCGCTGAGCAGAAAGACTCAGAGGCACAGCCCTTAAGGCTAAACTCCATCCCGCCGTCTGTCACTGGGAGAATAAAAAAACTATGACACAAGCTACAATGTTTGCTACAAGAATCACTTCACATTTCTCTGATTAGAGGAAATATGTTGAGCTCAGAGGAAGAAACATGTCTCTTACCCGTGGCTTCGACGCAGTGGTCCTCATTCCCCTGACAGGTAAGAAATTGAGTGCATGTTGTTCCTACACAGGTGTAGCACCTTCTGCCATTTGGAGCTGGGCTTGGAATAGCTATTTATAAAGTGTAAATTGTAAGTGTAAGTGTAAACTGTTGCTAGTACAACACAGCAGAACTTTCAACTGGCCAGGATGTCAATTACCTGGAGCAGAGTGATTGTTGCACCGGTCTGTGCTGCAGCATCCGGCGGTCAACACCACTCTAGAGACTCCATAGTTGAGTGAAGACACACCACACTCTTGAGGCAGAGCACAAGACTTAAATTCACTATCCTCCAGAGTCGTGCCACCTGCAGCCAAAATGAACCACTGTAAGCTTTACCTGAGCCAAACGGGGGACCTACAACCTCTGAGCACAACACAAAAAAACATACTTGCATATGTCCTCATTCTGACTGAGGCACACTGTGCATTCTGAACGGGACAGGTTACTGTAGTACTGCAGGGCAGTGTTAGACACTCAAAACACTGCAGGGTCTCTCCGGATGAGAACAACTAGAAGAAGCATTGATTGTTAACAAAACATCATCAACAACACCATGACAATCCAGTGAACATGTCAGAGCCATAAATAATGTTAGATAAAGACGATTGTACCCACAGTACCGAGCTACTCAATGTAACCCTATTTCAGTGGTTGATCATTCCACATTATCCATTTCTGACATCAAGTCAATGTGGTCAGTACACATCGGAGTCTATTTTAGAGAACGGCATTTTTATGTCGACGTGGAATTTAAAAAATTGTAAACAGTAAACACACAAAAATACACTTCAGAGCAAGTTTGTGGAAACAGCTAGAAGAAATGGTATTTAAAAAAAGAAAAAGAAAACTAAAAAAAAAATTTTTTTACAGGAAATTTAAAGACTTTGTTAAACAGTGTTCGTTTGTGTAATTCTGTAGATATCACAGGTAAAAACCTGAAGTATTGGCTCAGCGACAAAGAAGGAACATTGTTAAAAAAATAAAAAGCACAGTAACACATATACCTGAAAAAATTATAGTCATTCCTTATGGGAAGAACTATAGAAAAAAAAGAACATAGTTAAACTTGCCTGTAGCAAAATCCCGAGGATCAGTGTAAGGAAATGCATTGTGCTCAGGGATGTGAGTTTCCTTACGCTCTGTTCAGGGTATAAATATATCTCCTGGAGAAGGGCTGATCAAAATGAGTCATGCCCTGCCTGTGAGGTTGCGACATGCAGGAGCTGTTAATTAATCTTGGTTGTAAAAAGATAAATTGGGAACATTCATTTAGGGTGAAACGAAACTCACTGACCAAAAAGGGTGATGTATGGGCCTAGGACCTTTTTAAGGGCATAAGAGTTCATTTTATTTCCTTGGAAAAGACAATTTAATTAAAACATTTTTTTTTATAAAGTATAGATGTAGCTGTTGGGTAAAACAGCCTGGAATCCAAAACTGGGATGTCTGGTTAAGATCTAGTGGTTCCGATGAAACACAACCTTTTACACACTCAAAGCTTGTCAGTCAAAGTCGGCAGTAAATGTGGGATCACTGAAGGAGAAACGAAAGCTAACGCTCAAATTTGGCTTCATGGTTGAAAGTTAGACAGAGACCTGTTTTACCTTCTGGAGTTAGAGAAAGAAAAATATCAACTGCAGGAAAGATGATTAAAACCCCTCAATGCTCAAATTCAGATTGGTCATTATTAGAAATCAGAATTGAATTTCTATTGAACACAACTTATTTTCATCTTTTTCAGTTGATTGATGGTATTTTTTCTGGCTCTGTGTTTTGCTGACTGCTTTATAACATATGAGTATATATATATATGCACACTCAAACTTCATATTCTATAGAAAATGAATCTATCCTAACCCTAACCCGTACCTCTACCCCCCCACAGCTCCTTCTGTAGCCCCTCTACCTCTATCTCACCACTGACTCTGATCAGTGTTTCTGTTCTATATAGTTTATTGTCATTGTGATGAGAAATGTAATATTGTGTCTACTCTGTAAGTCGCTTTGGATAAAAGCGTCTGCCAAATGCATAAACATAAACATAAACATAAACATCTACAAAATTTTAGAACATATAAAACAAAATAATAATCTTAAATGTGATTTGTTTTCTGTGACATATGAGTTGTCCACATAGATTTGTGTTTGATTCCTGATAATGTGACGTAACTGGTGAACTGTTGGTTTTGTTTGTGTGTTGTGTACATTAGTAGTTAAAATTTATTTTCCCTTATGTCAGACTGATCCGGCCAGTCCGTATTGGAGTGCTTTATGTTTCTTGGGAACCAGGTCACTTTGATTCTGTCATGAATCTGTATTTTGTTTGCTCGGTCTACTTTAACACAGGGCCTTGTGTACTTTGAAGATTTTTGCATATTTTCTGCATTTCATTTGCTTACTTGCATGTCCTAACCAGCTTAGTCCCACACACTGTGAACTGTCAAACAACTCCCTAATGTCTGTCTAAGCGGGTTTGTATTTTACATTTATGCACTTTTTCCAGTCAGCTCCTGCATTTTTGGAAGTAGCAAAAAATAGTTTGTATCTTCTTAATTTTCTATTTATCTAAGCTTCTGTGTTCTCTGTGCATTAAACAGTAAAAACAAAAAAGAGACCTCTCATCGAACAACAGTGGTAGCTTAAATTAGACTGTGTAGTCCTTTAAAAGGAAGTTGTTCATTTACTAACTGGTCTTTTATCAAGAATGTAAATGTCTATGCAAACATTCTCCTGGAAAGTCCTGATCAGCCATGTGAGAAAATATTGTTTTTAGTTTAAAAATAACATAATCCGGTTGTCGTTTCTAGACTCATCCGCTTTAGTGGCAGTGGCAACACTAAGTGATAGCGTATGTCATTGTTCATGGTTCAAGATGTTTAGTTTTTTTACTGTACGATTTGGTGTACTGATCAATACCATTGTTTCCACTCTTTGTAGAGTGATATTAGCTTAAATCTGAAGCCAAACTGAGTGCAGCTGTTCAGTGAGAAATATCTGTCTGAGCTTTTGTGTGTGTTGGTTTAGAGGGCATGACTTTTCAGAATAAACTGCTCAGATAAACCTACTACGTCAATGTGCCAGTTGAAAATGGCTATCGAGGACATAAAGAAGGGAGAGATCAGTAAAAAGCCAACATCTGACAACTAGTGTCATCATTAAAAGACAGAGGGCTGGTAACTGAGAGCTTAACTGAAAACAAGTAGATACAAACAGAAATAACTAAACAACCAGATGAGGGGAAAAAACAGAAATAAGGTAAGGTACTTGACTTCTGAGACTATGAGCGAAACCAGAGCTTAAATACAGACAACAATTGACAACAGGTGAGGGAGGAAAACACCAGAAGATCAGAGCAACTGAGGACATCTAGAGGTTATGACAAAGAAGTGGATGTATTTGTCTGATCTGATGCACTGCCAGCGTTTTGGAACAGGACCATTTTGTCATACAAATTCACCACTTCATCTGTTTTATTTTACTGTATTTACTGTAGTATAAAATACAAATTGACTGTAAAATACCATTGATTATAAAGTATGTCCGACTAATATATATTTTTCAGAAAGCACGTTTGGCACTGCATTTGTCCTTTTTATTCTTTTTTTGCTGTGTAATGTACAGCCTATTGGAAAAATTTATTTTTCCTCTAAATCATTCCGTATTGTAATATATTTAAGATCAAATAAAACTTTAATAAACACAACAATGTTGACATTTCACACTATTTAAAGACAAGTACAAGAGACATCCAATAAATACACAGCCAGACCAGTAGAGTCATCCCTTATACAACATGGAAAATGAGAAAAAAGTTGGGATGCACTGGTTTACCGCCTTGTGGACAGAGCATCATAACCGATGCTTGTTAGCTTGATAAATTTAACATTTCTGTTGGATTTGGACTGTTTTTATTGGCACAGTAATCACTGGTCTCGTGATATCTTACATATGAAATGATAATGCATAAAAAGGCTGAGCTAACAGTGTATGTTGATCAGAATCTATGAATTCTGGAGGTGGATAAAGCAGAAAAGAGGTTCTGTGTTGTTAATGAGCTGGCAGTATCTGGTCCAGTCACAGAGAACGTCATCATCTCTGACCAAACGGCCGGCTGCAATGTTTCAACGGATCAAACTTCGAAGCGGCACCGAGGCAGGACAGTGTCCTCAGGTCAAACTTTTCCAGGTCCTGCCCGTTTCAGGCATAACACTTCTCATGCGTATTTTTGCCCAGCGGACCTCACTTCGGTGTCAAAATGTCCGGATTTCTCACAAACGAGTGCGAGCGATACCTCAGAGCCTGCAGCTTTTCCTGGTGTGTGCCGCTGGTTTTCGTGGCGGCGTCTTCATCAAGAGACAGCCGGATGCAGCTCTTCAGACGGTCCATGCCGAAGCCAGTGATGGCGGACACAGGAAGAACATGTCTGAAAGTCATATACTGGCTTGGTACCATGTCGTCAGGCAGCAAGTGAGAGAAGTCTGCGGTGGGTAGAAGCAAACGTGAAAATTTCAAACAAGAGTCCTGTGTTACTCTCCCCCGTATTCTCAATCATAACGCCCATTTCCATTTTAGGTAAAAGACAAACGCACTCCAACTGCACACATAACCACGAATACTCAAGATACACAAAAAACATGAGAGAGTGTACAATACGCAGCACGTTCCCGATAACATACACACAATACACATCTCCACAGTAAATAAATAATAAAAACAAACAAAAACGATACACACACACATACGCACACACACTCACACACACACACACACACACACAAGTACTGGCGCATGAACAAAGTTTTTATGCAGAACAAAAGCACAAAAAAACAACACATGAATAGTTTGCATTCATCCAAGTGAAAAGCTGGGGAGACATAATTTAGAGGAACCCCAAAAAGATGTTGACTTTTTATCTTATGTCTCATCAGACTTTTTTTTATTGCAGTGAAAAGTTTTGGAAAGGTTGAAGGCTGTGTGTTAGGGAAAAAAGAAGAAAAGACAAAACCAAAACGCACACAATAGTAGTCAGTACGAAAGATTGTATCAAGCATGTCAATTCACCATCTAATGGACAAAAATTGTAAAAAAAAACAAAAAAACAACAACAACAAAAAATCCCCCAAAAAACACCGAGTTCACCTTCAGGCTTTTGCAGCTGCTCCTTGAGCTCAGCTAGTTTGTCCTCGGCATCAGGGAGGTCCATTTTATTCACCACCAGCAATGCAGGCTTTGACAACATCTCCTCTTTATACAGCTCCAGTTCCTTCAGGAAGAGAGAGGAGCGATGAATGAAGGGGTGGCATGTGGTGGTGGGGGGGGGGATACACTCAGAGGTCAGAATCAATAATTTGTTTGACGTGCTTGTTAAAAAAGTTTGTCAAATTTATTTGAGATGAACACTTTGCACCAATCTGACTAACCTTAGTGAGAAGCTGCACGGCTTCAAAGGCCGACCTGAATGGTGTTTTTGTGGCCAGCTGGAAACCACAAACATCCACCTACAGTCAGACAAAACACAAGGAAACTGAACTCTGTTCTTCAGCTGGTCGCGCTGAAACCTAAAGTGTCAGCATGTGTACTCTGATGGCATACCACAAATAACAGCTGCCTGGTCCTCTCCACGTGCTTTAGAAACTTGTGACCCATGCCTTTGTTAAGGTGAGCCCCCTCAATCAAACCTGGGAGATCAGCAACCGATATCTAACAAAATGTTTACAGAAATTTGTACATTGAATTTGCAATGTCAAACAGCGTATATTAATCAAATATTAATCAAATGTCCATACCTGTTTGTAATCTGGATACATCAATTTTCCGATCTCAGGCCTCAAAGTTGTAACTGCAAAAGTCATAAGCAAGATTTCAGAAATAAAAATAAAGATAAAATGGAACACTGAGCTCAAACAGAAGCAAAAACATGCATTATTACGTTCATACAAGCATAGCTGGCAATCTGAGGTGTGGCGTTAGACAAGGCTGTCAGGAGCGACGACTTCCCTGCGTTGGGAAACCTGATGGGGATTTTAAAAATACAGCAATTTATTCAATGCAACTCTGATGGCACCTGTGCAAATTTTAATGTCAGCATGTCTGCTCTCACCCCAAAAGGCCCAGGTCAGCGATAAGCTTCAGGTCTAGCCGGATGTGTTTAGCCTGGCCTTTGCTGGGCTGGAACTCCGAGTACAGAGACCCTCCAGATCCTCCTTTAGCCACCTTCACACGATCACCCTCAGCATTCAGGTCACCTTGTTGAAGAAGAGTTGGAAAAAAAAACATTAAAAGAAAAAAAAAAACCCAAGGGACTCGATTATGTCAGACTAAATAAGGGACGAGTCATTAAGAATTTTTGACCAACCAATTATTCTGCCATCATCAGAGGTGACAGTGATACCGACGGGAGCCAAGACCTCTGTGTCCGTTCCTTTCTCACCCTTCAGTGCTCGCACACTGTCAATGCAGAAATTGAACAACTACGATGTTTGTCAAATCTTTTAGATGTCAGGGAACAAGCACTGACCAGTTCATGGTTGGATTAACAGACACCAACCTGCTGTTGCCTCCAATTCCGCCTATAAAACGCTTCTGTGGGTATTTGTCCTTGATCTTCTTCAGACTCATGTTCTTTGTCGCCACCACCCAAACATCACCCCCATTTCCCCCCTGTCCCCCGAGACGGGGCAGGCCCATGCCGCCGCTGCCTCCACGCACGTAAAGCCGGAGGTTGTCCACAAAGTTTCCATACTGCCGAAAGCACAAAGGCACACATCTGACGGCTATGCGAGTCTATTGGAGAACATTTCCAGATGTTCTAAAAACATTGCTACAAATTTTTCGGGCAAAGAGTTTTCTTTTTTTTTTTTAAACACACAAAATGTTTTATTAATTAAACTTTAACACCACATCAACATATTAATAGTTTTTCCAGGCTAGGGCTAAATCCTTGCACAAGCACTGGAAGTTTACAACAGCAAAATTATTTATAAAATTGAGTTTCTAAGAAGTAGCAAAAGCTATTTAAATTTGGGAATAGTTTGTTTTGCAGTCTGCTAACATATTATTGCTAGCTCAACAGCACAGGCAGTTGAAAGTGGTAGCATCCTGTCACACTGATAGTTAGCTTTCAAGCTAATGTCAAATTGTGTTACAAGCATAGTGTTAAGTTTTATCTCTCGAAATCACAAGTCTGGTTGGCTACTCACCTTACGGCAGCAAATTCTACTGATCTGGACCATTTTCAGTGGCGTTTACAGCAACCTTATTACTTGTCAGCAAAGCTAGCTGCTAGCTCACATGTGTTTTCATGACGGACAAGAAGCGATTGGTTCTCTCTGCTGATTGGGCCATGAGATGAAAAGGCGGGACTTAACGTAAATGGACAACTATCATTGGCCACAGGGACTATGTACCACACTCCTTTTAAAAGCATGACAGTCCAAAGCAGCATAGCAGATCCATGTTCTATGATGGTAATCAAGAAGTCGTGCTTATGAGCTCTCCTTTAAAAAAAAAAAAAAAATCCATTTTACCTTCACAGTAGCAGTATGGAATTGCTGCAGTTCTGAAAAAGATTATGCAGTTTTAGTTTCTGAAACCTTAATATATTTGTGATAAAATGCTTATAATATTACTGCTCCATCATAAGGGATTTAAACGTTTAACTGGTTTAAGCATTGATAAACAAGTGCTAAATCTATGGAAAAATCTGTATTTAATTGGTCTAGAAGATGGTGCAATGAGTACTGCCATGATTGACATAAAATTGAGAGAGAAATGTCATAGTCATCTGGGGATAAAAACAAAAAGTACAGTTAGTAGTCCAATACTAAAAACCCAAGAGTTAATACTTTATCATGGACAGAAAGGTCAACACAAACTGAATAGGTTGTAATTTTTTTCTCCAAAAAAGTAACTCTTTTTAAGAGGTAAACAAACACTTTCTAATTGCATCGGGGTATTTTGGCCTTTTGTGACATAATTACGAATTTATTACATAGGAAAGAAGCTGGGAAGCATCCAATCCTTAATAGTAAAAAGGTCTGACTGCTGAAAACAGTTCTAAACTGCATAAGCAGTTTTCTAATGGCAATATTACTTGATTAAATTACCAAAGAATGCATTAACTAAACAGTGCTTTATTTCAGAAGGTTCAGCTTAAATATTTTGAAGAGACTAAGGGACATCTTGAAGTTTTGCTCATGATAACTCATCCCCATTCAACAGAAGCATCCTTTCCAGTTTCAATAAACCAGTTGGACTTCTGCACTTGTTTTGTGGGGCTGCATGAGATACTTGCACTCTGTCATTCAAGCATTTTAAAACTAAAACAGTGTTATTCATCAGACGCATTCTCTACAGCTTATTCCCAATGGGGTCATGGGTGCAGGAGCCTATAAAACAGTGTCATAGTCCTGTTTTGTTTTGGGTTTTTCGATTTTGGTAATCTAAATGCAATTCCTCTCTTTGAAAGTTGTTGTTAATTTAGTCATATCAAAACTCACAAAAAATGTAATGTGTACATTTGTAAATCACTAAAGCCTTTTATTTCAAATGTCAAATATTCAATCATTTAAAGTGAAATACTTACCCACCAGTTATGGTTTGAAATCGTCACACCTCTGCCTGCATATACATTTTCTGAGATCCACAAGCAGCAGAGACGGGCGGGGTACCACGTTTTCCTTTGTGAAATAGTAAACATCAGAATAACATTGATTTATATGGAGAACATCCAGTTAGAATGGACAGTTTCTTTTAACATGTCTTAGAAATGAAAGGGTCCTCTTTAAGCCCACTGAGTGGGCATGAGTGTCGGCGGCGCAGTGAGGATGCTGAGATGCTGTGATCTCTCCGCGAACGCGCTCACGCTTGTCGGTGCACGTGAGATGCGCATGTGACGACTAAAACAGACGCAGGACCCGGTTTCTGTCTTTCACGCTCAGCTATCAAGACGCGGGGACCGTTTTCCACTGTGTGAGGCTGACGGGCTGACCAGACCTGAGCACACCGGCTCTGCCCCGATTCAGCAGAACGGAGGTGAGTGCGCGCGCGTGTCTCTGTGGTGACGAGTGAAAGGTTGGCTTATTATCTCATTCAAGACCCCAGACAGTTGGCTAGGTCCTCCCACCGGTGTCTGCCTATTTATAGGGTTTAGAGAGGCTGCTCTGGGTCGTGATAACAGGACGCAACTGGGAAGCATAGAAATAAACCCCGGCACGATAAGGGCTCCGGTTCCTGGTCGAGTGTTGCGGATAACGGTGAACGTGAGTTTGACCTAAATTATGCAATAACTATGTAATTATGCAGTAACGTAGCGTCTGTCTCGTGCGCTCCGTGGACGTCAACCGCACGCAGTCCTGATAGTGAGGGAGGTGAGCCTGTAAGGATTCATGAGGATGCTGTTTTACTCAACATCCCAAAAACAAAAGACTTACATTAAACCTCATTCTGAAACAGGTCTGAATGCCGGTCCAGGGACATTATCCCAACCTCCAGAGATGAGAATACATCAGGCCTTCAAAGGAAAATTAAGCGATATTTTCAAGAAAAGATTTAGTCCTTCTGGATATATTTCCAAAGGTGTTACCAAAAAAAGAAAAATCACAGAAAAATCTGTGGCAACAGGCTACCACACAGGCTTTAAAACAGGCATCATAGAAATTGAAGAGAGGATTAGAAGTGTAAAATAAAGTCTATATTTCCGCAGGTAGCTCACAACACAGTGCACAGTGTTCTAGAAAAGTATGCTCTGTGCATTAAAGAGCAGGAATACAGTGCGACAACAGCGACCTAAAAAAAACAACTTACATCATGGAGTCTGTGCTTTAGTTTGGTATTGAAACATTTTATGATGCAACGCATCTAATTTAAAGATCTTTGGATCAGGTGCTTTCATTATCATCACTTTTTAAACTAGAAGTGACTTTAAAAAAATAGCATAGCCTTAAAAGTTTAACTTCAATGCATGGCTGAGATTGTAATTATCTTAAATAACCACTTGGAACCACACTTGCATTGTAATAGATGCTAAATGTGGAATGATGCAGAGAGATCTGTTGTTGCATCATACTGTATTTACACTGGTCAAAGGCATTTGATGCAACAGCTGGAAGAGGGAAACAAACATGGATTTAGATTGGAAGATAAACTTAAAATACTTTAGTTTATAGATTCAAATGAATGAATAACAGCCAAATAACCTATAAGAAATGTTTTGCACTGCTGTGTGATTCAATTACTTTATGTCACTTGTCAAAAATATTTTGATGGATGAGCTGTCTAGAAATAGACAGAAAGTCAGCCATGAAGGTATCAAAGTAATGATCGACTTTCTGGTATAACAGCAGCTATTCAGATAGATTTAGTGTTGATGCTGTATTCTATGTTACCAGTTGGAAAAATCTGAACAAACAGCACATATAGGTCAGTGCAAAACAAAATATACGATAAGAAGAGAAAAGAAAAGAAATAACTTTTGCAGCTGCTGTACTGGTTTTATAACCTGACTGTTGACATGGAAATATTAGTATCAGCCTACCAAATGAGGGCAAAGGCATGATCCAAACAGGGCAGGCAATGTGTGGAATCCCATTGCTTTGGCTGAAAAGGGTAAACAACCTGACAACTGGCTGGCCCACAGATACGGGTCAGACGGGAGGAGGGAGGGCGGTGCACAAAATGCTGGCAACAGGTTGACACACAAGTTTGAAGGGAAACGAGCCAGAGTTATAGGATGGAAGACAAAGGTGGTTTGGGCAGTGTTTTCACCGAAAGTGGGGCAAGTGGGCACCGTGTGCTGCAGCCAGTGGGTGATGTTTTGGCGGGATTGTTTTTGAGTGTGTGAGGACGGTGGCGGTGGATAGGAGGGGAGCAGGAGCTCTGATGGTTTGGTCTGTCAGCGTGCCAGGACCACATTCTCATCGTTCTGTCGTTGAAAGGGCCAGCAAAGATATAAACAAGCCCAGTGGGATTAGGGCCCACTCGGAGGAGTGATCATGGGGGATTTGCTACCCGACGGGCACACAATGGCACTGTCGCGTAATACACAAACACACACTACACGTCCTCTATGGCTACATTTCACAACAGGCCGAAGCCTACACAAATCTGATTAGAACTTCCCTTTGTTTGGGGAGCGACACCGGGGTTAACAGAGGCTAGCCTCGCCGCGGGCCCTGTGTGATGGGACAGGGTGTGAGTTGACGTCGGTGATAGAATCTGGGGGCGCGTTGTGTTGTGGCGGGGCCTTTCCACGTGTCTGAAGCCCCAGACAGACAGGGAGGGTCGGGCCTGTGTGTGGGAGCACAATAACAGGATGAATAAAGGGTGTTCTCTCCCCCAATGTGTATGTTTCTGAGTCAGCTGATGATGGTGGACGGAGACAGGCTAAGCTAACATGAGGCAACAACACCGGCAGACACAAAGACAGTAGGCTGGTTTGAACCTGTTCAAAATAATCTGACCCAGAAAAATGGAGACAGTGGAGGGACAAAGCACAAATGAGTTCCTATTTTGGTTGATGTTCAATGGACAGCCACAGAAAAGTCTGGACTTTTTCTTTTCACATGTCCATCTTTGTGTTCCTTCTCAGTGCTGGCTCTGGCCCAGGCTGCAGCCATGCCTCTCCTGGAAGAGACCACTCTGCCACAAGAGCACCCACTTACTCTGCCTGTGGTCATCATAGGTACACTTTGATCCCTCACTGTGCTTACCATTACTGGTGCTGCCAACGTGCACCCTTAACACTATAATCTGTGTGACACAATACCCACATCAAGATTCCAATCTTTCATAACATGGATTTGTTTTTAGGCAATGGGCCATCAGGTATTTGCCTCTCCTACCTGCTGAGTGGATACAAACCCTTCTTAGACACAGCAACTGTTCATCCAAACCCGATTCTGTACAGGAAACTGCAGGAGACCAAGCACCTCCCTATCACTGAGCAGGTAAAAACACCAACAATTTGTTAATCTGTGATAAATAATATATAGATTTGTCACAATATGAACTACTTAATTTTTTTTGTTTTGTTTGTTTTTCTACAGGATTTGGAATATTTGAGTGAAGGTCTTGAGGGGAGGTCAAGGAATCCAGTGGCAGTGCTGTTTGATACACTTCTACATCCCAATGCTGACTTTGGTTATGAGTTCCCTTCTGTCCTGCAATGGAGGAGAGACAAGCAGCATCACATTCCACATCTGGTTTTGGGAAAGGCAACACCTGGGGGTGCTTGGCATGTAAGCAGCAGTGTTTAGTCAGCTTTTAACAAAACAGATTTCATATGAACCGTTTTGTTTTAATCTTTGCTGTCATTTCTCATCTTTTTAGGCAATGGAAGGTTCCATGTTGACCATCAGTCTTGGCATCTGGATGGAGCTTCCCGGCGTAAACTACAGAGACTTAACCAATGGGAAACGCAGGTAAAAAGGAAGCTTACAACAACAACTTAAAAGCTCAAGCTTCAATTAAATCATTACGGCTGTGTCTCATCACCTACATCTGATTTTAAGGGATGTCACCAGTGACAGAGCCACCCCAGAGGAGATTTCATCCTATTACCGTGACTATGTGAAGCTAAAGGGTCTCCAGAAGAGCTTTGTCGACAACACCTATGTGACCTCTGTCCAGAAACTCTGTCGGGGACACGAGGTGAAAAGTCTGCAAAATGGCCACTGTAATCGAGGAGACAGTGGGGTGGGGGGTGATGAGAACGAAGGCTTTGATGGAAATAGAGAGGAGAGTGTAAACAGTGGAGGAGGGGGGGCTGTCTGGGAGGTAAGGGGATATCAACAGGTCCAGAACGACACGCATGTCCCCTTCACTCTGTTTGCTGAAAATGTAGTGCTGGCCACTGGTGCGTCTGATTCGCCAGTGCGACTGGGAGTAGAGGGGGAGGATCTTCCCTTTGTGTTCCACAGCATCTCAGATCTGGGCCTGGCTGTTAGCCAGAGAAAGCTGGATAAGAACTCTGATCCGGTTCTAATTGTAGGTGCTGGTTTAAGCGCTGCTGATGCAGTTCTGTGTGCTTTTAACAGCAACGTTAGGGTGCTGCATGTTTTTCGCAAGACTGTAGACGACCAAGACCTCATTTTTAAGCAGTTGCCGAAGACCTTGTACCCAGAGTACCACAAAGTGTACAACATGATGTGCTCCAAGACATACACCAATGTGAGCCCTCCTCCTGCTCCCAGCAGACCTCAGGCAGTTAGTATTGCCTCCTCAGTATGCGCCAAGATGTGCCCTAAACCCCAGCTTGCGGCAGGTAACACGGCCGGAGGGGCCAGCGTCAGTCTGTTTCCTGACTACACCAGTTTTCCTGAACACTGTGTGGTGTCCTTTCAGTCTGACATGAAGTGTTTGCTGCAGGGAAACAACTCCCTGAAGGCATTCAAGATCTCCATGGCCCTGGTGCTGATTGGAACCAACCCAAACTTGTTTTTCTTAAAGGGGCAGGGCCAGTACCTGAGTCAGGATCCAACAAAGCCCATCTCTTGCAAGCAAAATCCCATTGACATCAACCCTTACACTTTTGAGTGCACCAATGAGCCGGGGTTATTTGCCATGGGCCCATTGGTGGGAGACAACTTTGTTCGCTTTTTGAAGGGGGGTGCCTTGGGCATCTCCTCCTGTCTTATAAAGAGACTCAAGAAAAGAGAAAAGCTAATCAGCAATGGAGGGAATAAATTAATCTGAAACCGTGATTAAGAAAAAAAAAGCATGAGTCTGTTCCTCAGGCACAGGTTTAGAACCCTTTTACCCTGCCAGAAAAAGAGGGGAAACAAGTATTAACATGCTTTCATCATTAATGCAGCGTTTTGTCATTCAAGCTAAGGTATTGGGAGACCAAAAAGACAATGGATGTAAACTTATCGGTTTCTAAAGAAACAAGAGACAGCTTTTACGAATAATGTCTGACTTCGTTTGAAGTCTCTTTATGTCCAAGCTTCCATGTGCCAATGTTTTTATGGTCAATCTGTAACCTCGTAACAGAGCGGGACCTTATTTTGATCAGGGGTATTCATTCATTCACCACGTGTCTTCTATCCATCTGCTTGAAGCACTAAGTCGCAGAGGGGCCAACCTAAAAAAAATAAAGGCCACCACTACATTTCTGTGCAATCATGCAAGTTTCACATTGCAACAGCAATGTAAAAATTGAACTATTTAATTGAAAAAAGGCATTTTAGTGATATTGCACACACAGAAACCCAAAAGACTCCAAAAGTTCACGGTTTAAGAGGTGTTTCTGATTATTGAACCCAACTCGTGTTCCGACTTCTCAAAAGCAGTTGTTGCTGTTGGTGGAAGGAGCCATGGTCTGGTAAATTTGGCCCATTGTTTTAGGGATTTTGCCTTTCAGATTTGAATGTATATTTCCAAATCTAACGTCTAATTTTCTGTATGGACTTTAGCATCCTGAAAAAACATGTGGACATCAAGGGGCACTCTGTGATTTCAATGTATGTCATCTCATGGGATGTAAAAATCTACAGATGAGCAACATTTCCACAAGTTCACTTTACAAGCAAACTCAATAATCTGATTTAAAAGAAAAAAATCATAATATTTAAGGCAAAATTTACACTGTGAGACTGAAAGCATTCAACACAAAGAGGCTTATTAAACTTTTGTCCCATGTTAATTCAGACTAAATGAAAGCGTGCAGTGTCCAGTGTGGGTGAAGTCACTGCAAAAAATGATTAAAACATGACACATCTATGAGTTTAAATTCTTTTAAATTTTTCTAAAAAAAATTACACACAAAGAAGTTTGTAAATCCTGATATTTGGGGAAACATCCATTGTAAATGTAAACCTCATAGATATAAAGAGAACATAAGAAAAGCTTTCAATTAAAATAAACTCTTTAAGACATAAAGTCACTTTAAATAAGCCCAGAAATAACATTAAATTTGTTTCATATTTGACGACCCGGACCTGTTGTGATAATGGATTTTTACCATGTTATTCAACTTTGTTTTTGTTTCTGAGACGGGAAAAAAAGGACAGACGTTCATGGGGGATTTTGCAAGTCATGCTGACGTGCAGAGACCTTTTGTGTCTTATTTGCCCGCCGTACACTTGTACACCGCTATAATCTGCCATGCTTAAAACAACAGTAGGCAGCCATGACTGTGTGTGTGTTAAGTGACAAAAACAGCTTAGAAATTAGATGGGAGATGATTCTACCATCCTTTCTTTACCTTTTAGTTTGCCATATTAATGTCAAATACTTTGACAGCCGCTCACGCACAGCTTCTGCTTTGTTTACACTGATGTGACTTTGTTTTTGATTATTTTTATTATTCCTTTTTTAATGATGAGGTATTATTCAATAAGTCGTGTAGTCATTTGACTTTTTACACTAACAAAACCTTTAACTCATTGCTGTTTAAGTTTTGGTAATGATTTTGACAAGTGAAAATGTTTCCCGTGCCAACTATTGAATTTAAGCTGAATTATATTATATTATATAACTTAATGCTTTTCATTTCTATTTCTGAATATAGTTTTTGATAGGAATATTATATATATGCATGCAGGCATAAGTCATTGGCTGCCAGTTCAAACTAGGATCTGACCACACATGACAGGTCGACTCAGAAGTGGAGAACCTTTTACTTTCCCCCTTATCTGAAAGATTAAAACATAAGCTGTGGAAATAAGAACTGCTGCTTCAGAAGCATGTTTTTGTCCTCGACATTTGAACAGGAATGCATATGGATTTCAGATGGAAACTCAAACAGCAGGTAGCTACGTAATAAACTGAGAAGAAAAGAAAAGAAAGGGGTTCAAAGCCAAACTCCTAACTTGCTTGGTCATTCTACAGCCCATGAAAAGGGCTAACTTTGCTTAAATTGTACAATTCCCTGCTGAATTAACTTTACACTTGAAAATGGCGTCTTCTGTGGATTTGAATGGGAAGGTGAGCCTGAACTCTGCACAGAAAGGACAAGACGTATTCGGCATGATGACTATTTGTCTGAGCTGTTTCAGATCTGGAAAAGTGCCTGGACTGTTGGCTGGAAGAAATTGCTGAGGAAATAGTGACACTTGAACCCTTCTTAAGTCCATCAATTCTGCTGGAAAAAAAAAAAAAAAAAGATGGTAACCTCAAAATGAAAGAATGGTTGCTTTCAGCATGCTCTTGTACACCTGAACAGTTTTTAAATGTTTTGTATGGTATATTTTTTATTAACGACAAATAAAATCTTTGTGAAAAATCTCTAAAGACAAGGCGGTTACGTTACATTTCTAGCTGTCAGTGACTTCATTAGAGAGAACCGAAGATGTTACATAGAGAACAGGAAGAACACTGAAATCAGGCATCACAGATTAGAAAGAAAAAACTGAAATCAGAATAATGATTTTCGCTATTTTCTGGAATCCTTTCAAACAGGATTTGACAGGTTTGCTGTGAAACGAATTCCCTCTGGAAGACGAAAAGATGAAGTAATTTATCTTCTCCTGGATAGTTTGGTGGGGTTGTACCTGACACACACACACACACAAAAGAGTACATGTCAAACATCCGTCCATGTCAGGATGGGCTTTTAACATTCCTCATGGATCCCTCCACCATGTGCTCAGAGGCATTTTAACACAATAAAAACAGCCCAAATCAGGTGCTGTAAAACACAGACAATGTTTGACCAGCTTAAAGCAAACAAGCTTCATATAAACCACGTCTGGAAACTTCATTTAGAACGCCCCCCCCCCACCCACCCAAAAAAAAAAAAAAAAAAAAAAAAAAAAAAAACCAACAAAAAAATACTGGACTGTTTTCTTAGCAGCAGAATCCGTTCTCAGGCCACGCATGACTGACTGAGCATGACTCAGTGATCAAACAGCTCAGGCCAAAGCCCATCGAAGACGTCTCTTTTTCTGCTTAGTTAAAGAAAACAGCAGCTTACATCACCTCTGTTACCCTGGCAACCGCTGTGACGAGAGTGGTCTGTTCTGACTGCAGAGGAAGGGGCTATAGCGGTCGCATGCCCGTAAACCTCCTGACTGTCATAGCTGAGGGTGAACAGACCCTCTTTCGATTCATTTGAATCTTTAAAGAGAGTGACTCTGGAATCTATAGAGATGCTGCTGACTGTTAACAGCATTACCGAAAAGCAGACAGCAGGAAATGACTGGAGCAACAGTAGAGATAAAATTAAAATGTTGAACTAAATGGTGGGCTACTGTCGACTTGGAATTGTGACTACTGACTAACACGATAATAAAAAACAAAACTCACTGTGGGGCTGTGGGGGATAAAGTTACATGGTACTGTGTCTGAGCAGAACACGAGGTTCGGGTTCTCACCTAAACAGGTCGTCCCCTACTGACTCATCCCGCCGGTTCTGACGCTCCTCCTGAAACGAACACGGTTTAGCTCAAAGGTCAGAAACAAAACGTGAACTTTTATGGGGCCGACAGTACCTCCGCTGCGTCTTTCAGCCATTCATCCAGGTCAGAGTTCCTGCCCCTGTTGTGAATCAACAGATCTGATCCTCCGATGATGTTCGGGAAACCGTCTGCTCCCTGAATGCGCTTCTATGCCACCCAAAAATGAAATTCTTATTAAAACACAAAAAAGGGTACGTTTTTCCCTTAAGGGGGGGGGCACACTTGTTAGGAAAAGTTCCTTTCTCTTGTTAAACGTGATGTAAACGTCAATCACTGCTAGTCAAAAGGTGAGCTAAGCCATGTTTTTACAAAGAAGAGAATACAGGGTTTGGATTGTTGGCATACAGCTCCCTTATTGGACCAAATGAGGGGCGTGCGTGTAAGCCAAACAGGAGCCCCTGCGGTGTGTGTACCCTCGGTGTCAGACCTTGCGGAAACATTTGAAGTTCTTGGCTTTTCCGTTCTCCGGCATCTGTTTTGGTGTGGTCTTCGGAGGAGCTGAAACCGTGAGAGATCTAAACTCCACCAACACCAACTTCTGAGGAAGACCTTCATCGATCTTCGACTCCTGAAATCATCCACGATAAATAGCTTCAGTAGGATGAATATTCACTCTAGCACTGAGTCAACTTAGTGGATAATCAATATGAAAAAAACAAAAACTATGAATTACACAAGAGCAAACTCAGAGACTGGTTAAAGACATCGTACTTGTTTAAAGACTAATATGATGCCACAAAATGTCCCTGACATCAATTTCATTAATATATAAGGTGATCCTTAGATTTAAGTGAATCAGCCTGCAGGAAACAAATGATCTCTTTTTAGAGGTGTGACTCCTCCGTCCCAGGATTTCTTTTTTGTAATACAGCTGAAGCTAAGCTAGAGAAGGATTTTCATTCCGTCTTTTTTTAAATGAGATTTACCTGAACCTCCTGTTTGACCACCACAGGTTTAATCGGAGGCTTCTTCTCATGTCTCGGTGGGCTCATATCTATTGTAAGCAGTTCTTCATCCTGTGGGAAAATGGAAGGTGAAAACTCAGCAACAATTCCGGGAATAAAAAGGTTTAATTAAAGAAAAACACAATGTGGATTTTAGAGGCTTTGTTGTGGTATGAAAAAAGTTATTTTAATCACCTCAATGAAAGAAACGTCATCTTCTTCAGAGTGTTTCATGGTTTCACTTGGCCTGGGAGAAGACTCTTTGGGAGGGTTCCTGGACTCAGAATTAGTTGGCCTGAAGTCTGTAGGATCAGGCTTCTCCGTTTTGATGGAGACAGTCAGCGGATAAGATGGTTCCTTGAGGCTCTTAAGGACACTTGATGCTTTTTTCAGCTGTGGCTGGGGGCTGTTAATGCTTATTCCTTTAGATTCTTCGTCGACCCGCTGCCTTTTGCATGTCGAGGAAGCTTTCGCAGCGTGTTTCTGCTTTGCCAGACTGGGCGCCATTAGCTGCTGCTCTTGACCTTGATTACTTTGGAGGCTGTCTTCAAAACAGTCCATATCCTCCGACATAATGGACTCCAGCTCCTCCAGCTGAAGCTGCTCTTCCATCTCCTTCCTTTTTCTGCTCCGCGGTTCCTTTGTGAGACCCTCTGACTGTCCAACCAGTAAATCAGCAGGTGATTCAGGGGCAGTCAGGGAGACAGCTGAGGGGCCACTGACAGACAGCGGGGGGATGTTTTTGGGCATGGATAGGGTGTTCGGTGCCTGCACCATGACTGATGAGTCTGGTACAGGCCGCTTTGGCTCCGATGTGGCAGCTGAGGGCTCGTCCTCCAAAGGCCTAAATGACGCAAGAAACACAGAGAGCCAGCTCAGTTCTGAGGCTTAACTTCTGCTAAAGCGTAGCACTAACATGATCTCTCCTTTTAGTAATGTCAAACACTCATAATAAACCTGTAAATTGTATTTTCGGTGCTCCTGCCGAGGACAGTGAAAAGGGAATATAGACCAACTTGATCTCAATTGTAAGCTAAGATTTCTGAGAGCAGATCAGTGGTGAAATGAAAACATGTTTTTTTTTCAGGCAGCTCCTAACATTTTCTTTATCTGCTCTTCAAATTTATATTGCTCAAACTGTGTTTTGCTCTTGCCCTGTGGTTTAAAAATATGCCTATATTTATGGATTTTAAAGTTACTTGATAGTTGTTCTTATTTCTCTTTCACATCTTACCTAGCAGAACCTTACCTTTTCTTGCTGACTGAGGAAAAGAAATTGGTCAAAGTTGATTGTTTCTGTGGGGAAGCTTGTGCAGAGGTCTTTGGTTTCTGAGGAGACTTTTGATAGAAGAATGCCTTCGACCCACCGTTGGTCTTTGGGGCAGGTGGCTTAAGTTTACTGTAAGCACCATCTCCACCTGAAACTGCAAAAAATATCGGCTTTAAAGAATATTTGTTACTTTGAGAAAGTGAACGTAAATGGAGTGACATGAACATCCCTAAATTCCTCTGGAAGCAAACAAAAATTGTATATTTGTTAGTGAACAAAAGCATTTTACATTACATTTCATCATTACCAAAACACATTGTTAAAGCATAGAAACCTTTTTTTCCCGGCAGAAACTCATGAATGACCTTTTATTTTCGTAACCTTAGCATAAGTATTTAAATGGGAACCAACATAATTAAAGCTGATATGTGGAAGCAGTGTCAGCACAGATGATCATGTCATTTTAAACGATCATATAACTATTTCATACCATAAAAGAGCAGTTAGAAGCTCAGTGATGATTTCATAGTTTAATCATGTTGCCTGGATACATGGTTTCTTCCATTCTTTATTTCTTGAGCTCTCTGCCGTGGCAACCAGACAGTAGCCTCCAGAGCAGTTGATTGAATTCTATTTCATACCATTACTCAGCGGAATAAAGCACACAGGTTGGTTGAAAAGACATCCACAATGTGGGGAACAGGCTCCACATTGGTATGTATCTTTCTTAAAGGGAAAACAAGAGCTCCATCAGCTGATTGATGGACTCCTAGTGAGGTTTCACTTTGTTCTGGGCTGAGATTCTGCTGCTGATGTGGTGTGACATGCTGTACATTGGACCTTTAACGCAGCAGATACAGGCTAAACAAAATCCCTAAAGATGAAATACTTAAGGGGAAAATAATTGTGTTGAAAACAATAAAATAAACCAATTTCTTTAATCATATATTAAAGATATTAAAAGTGCTATATATACTACAGTATTCAAAGAAGTACAAATAAACTATCATATCATTTCATATCACGCTGATTTCATTGGTTAGAAATAAATGCTTTGGAGCTCAATAAGAAGTATGAGTGTCCCTCTCATTCAAGTAGCTACCTGTAAGTTTGGACTCATTATTCCTCCTCTGGGAGTCTTTGCTGTTTCCTGGGCCAAATGATGGGCTCATTGTATCGGCCACAATGACCTGAGAGGTTTTCGTCTGAGCTGTGAGTCTGGATCCGTGGGGCTGACTGCTGTTCGGGTTTTGCTTTTTCTCTGGAGTCTCTCCCACTTCTACCACTCCAGTGATCTCACATGCCTCTGCCCTGGTAACGTACGATAGCAAAGTGTGAACGACATCTCAATTACACAGAAGACGTGGCTCAGCGGATACATTTGCAAGCACAGCAGTACTCTGCTCGTCGTATGGAACCGTGTGCTTCTTTTTTCAGGAGCTTCAGCGCTTATTTCTGGATGTAGTAGTTACACAGATTTCTGCTGATTTCAGTCAAAAGACGTGGCAACACTGGCCCCGGAGGCAGAGTTGGTGCAGGACAGGATGGCAAACATTACAGTGACAAAGGGTAAGGTAACAATGGCATGACTCATCCTAACTGGAACAATCTGATCAGCACAATATTTCCCTATTTGGAATAAGTTGGACAGACAGAGCAGTGCTGTGCACGCACACATAGCCGGCGAGTGTTAATCTGCACCTTTGTGATGTCTCTGTGTTGGCTGCGAAGGCTGTGATGTTCTGCGACACTGCAGGTAACACAGTCTCATCCACAGTCACACTCTGTGACAGAGAAGCCCCGGGGATTCTGGGTTCCCCTTCTGCTGTCGAGTCTAAAGCACAAACAATAAATAAAAAAAAAGCGAAACATTATACTTTTTCCTCTGAAAAAAAAAAAAAAAAACTAAATGCATTTCAGTGTTGTTAAGCACCTGAGTCTGTGATCTGACAGGATGGATTGCAGTACTTATTACAGGACGCATAGATGGCGGCCAAGCCAATTTCAGACTCTGTGATGACTCGGAGGCCTTTCCTGTGTCAGTGGTCAAAGGAGACATGAGTCTTTACGCGGCCACAAATCCCTAACTTCTCTCAATAACTGTAGTTCAGACACACGCTCTAAAATGCAGAAGAACAGAAGCGGAGACCTTTCCAGGATGTTCTTTACTGAGTTTGCCCACTCTGAGGAGGAGGGAGGAAGCAGAGTTTGGGAGCTGCCTGTTGTGACATCGACCACACAGCTGTGTGGAGACTCCAGCAGGGCACGGGGCAGGAAGCCCTCCTCCAGCAGCTGGCTCGTGCCACCTCCAAAAATCACTGCTGTACTCAGGCGCTTCAGCTGCAAACACCATAGGAGAGAAGCCTGTTGGTCTGCTGGTGTAGGTTACCGGTCATCCATGTGCCTAGATCACTTTGCATCCAGAAGATTTCAGCTCCAAAGGAAAAGGCCAAGTAAAATACTGGAAGCATATTCAAATGAAGGAATTAAGGTAACTGCCTCCGTGAGCTGGACTTTCTGTCAAATCTAGTGAGATAAACTACAGTTTGGACCTCATCAACCTGACCTCATTTTATACAATCACTTTTTTCCATGAAGCCGTTAGTGTGAAAATAAACATTTGAGTAAAAACCTTCGGGTCCCACTAGGATTAGACCCTTTCCAAGAATCATATGTGTAATAACAAAAATCCAACATTGGTTGTGGAGCTGGCAGTTTCAAATATCCATAATCTATTCAGTTGGGTTCTTACATTTTGTGTTTTTCAGGGCTACAGAAAAGGTGTTAGCTCACCTTATGAGACAGATATAAATGTATGCAACTCTACTGAAAATAGGCTCTCTGTGTCAGCATGACTCCCCCAGAGGATCCCAGTTTGACAAAAGACTTTCTGGCAACTCATTTGAGGAGGAAAAACTGTCTCCTCATGAGATCCTGACAATCTTTAATACTTCCTTAAAAAGAAGCATCTGCCTCATCCATAACAAGGGCTCATCTCTACATCTCTCATGATGTGGTGCTCTTGATTGAAGGTAAGAATTAAGTAATACTCATCCCTAGCCACTATTTTTTCAAACTTCACCTGTACAAAAACACAACATTTTAGCAGTTTGTGGAGAATGAAAACAACACAATATTGATGTAAAGGAAGGTTTGCGATTAACCTGTTTGGCACTGAGGAAAACGAAGGTCTTCCCACAGAACAGCTGTTTGCGAAGGGGGATCACTCCAAGATTAACCTCCTCTTTCTTCAAGCTGGGCTCGTCAATTTCAGGTAAAAAACTTGAAAAACAATGCACACAGGAAATCAAACAGTTAGTGCCATACAGCTATCTGGTTCAGATCAGTTGAAGTGTCAATGAAGAGTATTTTACCTTTCAGCTTTGGGAGGAGGTTTTTTCTGAATAAAGGCATTGTTGAGCTCTGAGAAGAACTCCGGCTTAACGATGGGACAACAACATAGCAGAGCAGAAATGGTCTGATAAAGACAGGAAGCCACAACGTCAGTGCATGGTTGGAGAGAAACACATCACACGTGCTGTAAAAAGAGATCTGACCTTCACAGTGACTTTGACAGTGGGCATGGCCAGATGTGTGCAGTCCTGAGTCCAGGTGTTGACCAGCTTCCCACCCAAAGCAGCCAGGTTCTGAGACAGCGCCGCCTTCCCAGAGTTGTCCAAACATGACGAGCACACAACAGGCTTCAGATGAAGCACGCTGACGTAGAAAAGAGCACAAAATCGCTTGATAATCAATTAGTAATTTACTGATGGAAATTCTCAGCCCTCTTTCTGTTACATACCTAAATTTGCTGTGAAAGACCCCAAACGTCAAATTGTCTCCTGACTTCAGGTTCACAGGTGCTGTTAGAGGCTGGTTGTTAACAAATGTCCCATACTTTGAGCTGTCCTTTACGGTCAGGGTCTAAAGGTAAATTCACAAGTCGGGATCAGAAAGCTCATGACTTATAAACAGGAGATGTTAAAATGTTTCAAATGTTAAGATAAAATAAATAACCTTCATGCAATCTTAGGACGAAGCAGATGCGTGATTCAAAATACACACGGACACCATGAAGAAGAGTTCAGAAAAACTAGTTCAGACTATTAAAAGTTTGGTTATGTTCATGGGTTAACGGAGGATCCCAGCACTCTGATTTCAGACATCACGAAACTAACATCTCACTTTCTTTGAATTACTTTTTTGCTGTTCATTCTTGCTTCACGTTTTAGTGTCAGTTACACAGAATAGTATGTGCCATGCAACAGCAACCCCCTCTGGTATCAGAACTATCACGCAGGTATATACATTTCAGAGTTCTCCAAAAAGTAGAGGGGGAGTTTTTACTGTAAGTGTGCATAAGAGAGAATTTGATTTCTATAACAATAAAAGACTGAGAATATGGCCCTAAAATCTGCTGAGGGGATTTAGCCGCTGCATTGCAGTTTAAATTTTATTGGAGTGAATTATTGTAGAATGATTCAAGTTCATTTTCCTTATTTATGTGATCATAGAAAAACAAAAACAAATGGTTGTGTTGTGCTGATTGTAAACAGAACAGAAAGCTCTCAAGACTAAAAAGATTATATTTCCATAATACATTTATCCTGCAAAGTCATCAATCCCAGTTAAAAATATATTCTGATCTCTAGCTTTCAAATATTTGCATTGATTTCTTTAAGTCACAATACTTTTTTCTGTCTCTCACCAGGTCAGTTGCAGTGAGATGAGCGTGCGTCCTGCTGATGGACTGATCATTGTGAAGAAGGATGTCACAATTCTTGCGTCCCACCACATACTCTTTGCCAGAGACGAGGTAGTGGGTCTCACCTGTGAGACGCAGAGTCATTGCACAAGTGTACTCCCCCCCCCTTTCTCTTCTTCCAACAATTTGTTGTACCATGCAATTGTAATCAGTGGTCAGCACAATACATAAAAAGAGAAAAAGTTTCAATATGTTCATCTCATTATTGAACAACAAAAATAAAGTATTCATTATAAAAATAATATCAATTCATTATTAATCAACAATTCCCCTTTACTGTTAACAACACTCAGTTTTTTGTACAATTAAAGTAATACAAATTCAAAATATGAACTACACAACAGGTCAGAATATTCAACAAAGGATAGTGTGTATGAATATATATTTTTATAGGTAATAATCTTCACTTTTGTTTGCTCTGAAATTGAAGCAGTTAAAAATAAATAAATAAATAAACAAATAGGCGCTCTTATTAGCTTCTTTAATTAAATATCACGAGTCAAAAGTTGCCCCTAGCCCTGCAAACAGAGACTGTCTTGAGGACACATCCTCGTGTGGCCTCTGAGATTTTAAGCTATCTAACAAACTTTTGCAGGCTAGCAACAACATAGCCAAACGCGTCAGTCTTCATGGAAAATGTTACCTCCGGGCTGCAGGGGTGTCAGTATCCACATTGCACTGGTCCCCAATCTCTTTGGTCGATTAAAAGTCACAGCAAGTCAACAAATATGGACATAGTGAAAATAAACAGATCATCCCGATCTCTTTCACAGCGCTTTTGTGTGACGTCATAACGCAGCGCCGCTTTCTTTTTTCAAAAACTAGTCTCCTTTGCAAATGTATTTATTTATCTATTTATTTATTTATTATACGTTGTCAATGTTTATATAGGAAATATCTCAACATGGTTGCCTAAAAGTACGGCACAGTCAGAACTCCGTGCAGAGACATTTTAATAGAGTGCATTGGAAAAAGTTACGTCAATCTCAGACATTAAAAGTGGATGTATAAATTAAACAGTTTTTAAAAACGTATTTCAATGAACAGAGGTAAATTTAGGTGAATTTTAGTCCTGTACAATAGTCATTGTAATAATGCTGCCCCCGCGACCCGACCCCGGATAAGCGGTGAAGAATGGATGGATTTACAGCAATACACGCACACAACTATCCTCCAGCACTCCACCTAGCGGACATATTAGGGACAACAACTTTAAATGTAACGCTCAAGCATCGAGTAATTTTGTATGCTGTATCCTCTCTCAAGAAACTTAAATCTTTAGAGACGATCTGTTTTAATTTCAAAGATCCAACAAAAGAATTTTATTTATTTCTTACAGACCCGTCAAAGCAGTTACAGAAAAGTACAGAATAAGCTTTTGCTAAGAGGGCAGAATGACAAATAACAATTAAGACAAGGACAGCTACTTCGTATTGTTTTATTTTTCTTATATCTTTCATTATAACACACACACACATATCAACATTTGGATCAATGGTTAAATAACTAACCTCACCACCTGAATACTGTCAAATTATTTTATATACATAAGGTAGATTAGACAGATATGTATTTGTTTGTGGTAAAACGCCACAGAAACTGCATGAAAAATCAAATATTCATCTTTTAATCATTTAATCTAAAAACAACTTTCACATTTTATCTATTGCTGTTTTTCACTTGAATGGTTAAACTTAAAATAAAGGATCATTTTCGGATTTCCATGGCTGTCCTGCTGTTCTGAGCCGGCCTTGTCCCCAGAGGCAGGGCAGTTTATGATTGACTCTCATCACTGCGATACTAGAACAAGAGTCGGGTTTCCGAATGACTTCGCACCAGTCTGGATAGTCCACAGGTTTATATCCGCTGTGAAGGGTGAGGAAAGGGTCAGATTAAACTCAGTTTATCAAAGAAGCCCAAATTAAAAAAGACTGCTGTGGACCAGATGACTACTTTGAAAAATTAAAAAGTAATTGGTGTAGAAGAAATAGCTAAATAGACTGAAACGATAATAAATAACTTATGGGTAAAAAACAAACAAAACAGCTTTTAAAAAGTAAAGTATGAGCATTTTCACTCACTGATCACAGCATCCCACTCCGAAAGGCTCCATGCAGACACATTGATAGCAGTCACTGGTAATCCAACTCTCTCCAATCCCATACACTTGCCCCATGTGTTCGCAGCTCCCTGAAAATGACAGTGAACTATCCAGGTTATGTATTTAAGAAGAAAAAAGTATTTTACCTACCAACTTAATCCAAATAAAAATAATTTAAATGTACTGCAAACACAAGGTCGTTTCAATGATCTCATCATACAGAATGGCTTGTGACATGGGGACACCACGTAAAATGTTTGGAAAGATAAGATTAAAGATTGATGTAAAAGCCAAACACATATTTTTCTGAACACAATTTTAAAAATCCCTAAGAGGAGCAGCGTTTATCTTATATTTACAATCACTTGATTCCTCAAAGGAAATATAATTTTCAATGATGAACGTTCACAAATACCTTTTGTGTTGAAGAAGCATTCACCACCATTATACACAGAAAAACATGGCAAACTGGCTCTCAGGAACAAGAGTGAAGCCAAGAGTACTCCTGCTGTGTTTGCCATTTCTGGAGAAAAACATCACAAATCTCAGTAATTAAATGAGAAAAAGAAAAATCAGACAACATATACCGATCTTGCTCATCTTACCTATATCTGAGTTTTACAGCTCTACCTATAAAAAAATCCTGTAGCCGTCCCTGTACTGTTTGTGAGTCCTGCTCCTCTTAGTTTCATTCACTCTCCTCTTATTTTTAGATTCCCTGTTTTTTGCCTTTTGGCTCTCTGGACCTCTCTTAGTGTGCCCCTCTTGAAGTGATGTTGACTCCCTGCGGTCCCCGTTATTTATACTGTGCCATTTGCCAACCGATTTTCATTGTGCATCTGCATGCACACGTATAATACGTAGACACAAAAATACACAAGCATTGTTACTTCAATGTTCGTCATTCCCTCTTTTGCCTGCTTCACGAGGCAGCGCCCCAGAGTATACAGTGTGCACTCTTTCAGATAACATTTTTCTCAGTGGGTGCCATTTGACCTGATCAGTAGATAGTGCTGAGAACATATCTACGGGACAGCCAGGCATTGGCCTATTGTTCAACTATTCAAAAGGTAAATGTGGGTGTAGAAGGCTAAACATTGACCTGTGACCCTGTCATCATACATAAATGTGACAAAAGTGTGTTATATTGTGGAAACCTGATATCAAATTGTTTTAAAACAGATCCTAATGAAGCTTTGGATAATTATTTCTCCTTAATGACTAATACTTAAGTTCACTGAGGCATTTCATCTGATTTCATGCCACATTATTAAGGAATATTTGCACGAATAACATGAATGCCAAGACGGCTTTTTTAACGGTTCATTTGTCTTTACCGCAGTTTTTCAATCCAGGAAGAGAAAGTGTTAAGTTTTCCTTATATAGCTGTGGTGTGTGTCATTGTGTTTTTTTTATTTCAGGAAGAAGAAGAGTTGCTTTGGATGACATCAGGCCTTTTTATAACTTATACGTACCTCAGTGATATGAAGTACGGATATTGGCTGGAGGGAAGAGTCTTGGTTACATTATTTGACCCCAGTGGTTTATAAAGTTTGTCCAAACTAATTAAACTAAATCAAAAGTATGCAATACTATATATTAGTGATATTTTTATAGGAACTATCTTAAATGAAGTTGTAAATGTATATGGGAAAATGTAATAAATGCTATTTATAGATAGATAATTGTCTAAAAATATAGTATTGAATGAAACGTATTATATAATGAAATATTCAGAGGACTGATCGAGGTGGATGCCTATGACCCGAGATTGTCAGGACCACTTTTGTGTCTTCCCTCTGTTTGATGATGAATAAAATGAACAGGCATGCCTGGGAATAAACAGTGGTCCAGGAGGTTGGCACCGTAACATAACAGCAAGTGGGGTCTCTGTTGAAAGGAGAGCTTCCTTTTTGGACTCTCTTCGGGTACCACCACTCAAAAACATATGTGTTTGGTAAACTGCTTGTTCAAAATCTACTGTGTTAGTGATTTTGAATTTACATGGTGAATAGGCCTGTGATGGTCTCTGAGTTGGACCGGAATAGTATCTAAAAGGGACGGATGCTTTGGGTCAGGTTACTAGTGAAAAGTAATTCTCTTTTGTAGTTTATGTTTTTTTTTCTTTATGATTTAGAGTTACTGATAAATTCAGCAAATTTAGTGCAGCACCCCGACTTAATCTTTCCTGCTTGGGCATTTACATTAACCTCAGTGATTTGCAAAATAAAGTCTCAGATTGTCCGAACTGGTAGTCCAGGGTTTTAACTGTATTGATATTATGTTGATGTAGTCTTATTTTCCACCATCATTGGTTGGTCATAATGCATCAGTAGTCTGAGATCTACATTGCAATTCCTAACCGAAGGTCAACAGAAATGTAATTAGATAACTTGATGTAACACATGGTTTGATTAAAAAGCATATCATTCCTCACATCACAGAGCACGATTTCATCCAATGCTCCCACAGGCACAACAGGATGTTACACATCGTGCTTCCCTTATGTAACAAAATGCCCTTTAAAGAATTTATCAAATGGGAGCGGATAAGTATCATTATAGGAAAAAGTCCAACAGCATGTCATCGCTATGAAACTTCAACTGGTTAAAGTATATATTTTTTTACTGAAGCTCTAACCTGCTGTATTTAGTATAATATGATGTGAATGAGGCTTTAAGGAACAATAAGTAATCACTCTGGAAGATATCAACACACCATTAGACTTTATTCAAATCCTTCAAAGATAAAATAACATGCAAGAAATGGTGAATATTCATATACTCACACTATGAGAAGAAAAGAAAATGCTGCTCAAGAACTGCCACTGTGCTAAAATTGCTAATCTTTCTTCAGACTATTCTGTAAAGTGAGGGCAGTACAAAAAAATGAAATGTTTTCCCTTTTTTGTAATTGTTTTTCAAATACCTGTGTAGAGACACTAGCAGAACTACTGGTCTAAAGAATAGAATATTTCTGTATTAGGTGATGAATAAAAGACTACTGTATCTCCAATATCATGCAGAACTGTGTTGAAACGAAACACAGAAAAACCTGATTGTCAAGTTCATGTTTTCGTTGACACTACAAACTTGTGATAACTGAATGTATTACAATACATTTGTACAAATGTGTTAAGTTCTGAAAGCATAATTGTGCAAAGAGCCATTGAAAGGTTTGCAATCTACAGCCGTTTACTTGTGTGGCAGGACCAAAAGGCCTCTCTTCAGAGCTACAGCAAAGATGAGAAGTCAGTGCCAGACTCTGTAGGAATATGTCTGATATTTAGTTGACATGACAAAAAACAAGAACAACCGAATATCAAACATATCACACAGCTCCTGGCCAATCACAGAAAGACCAGCAGACTGGGAAGCCCTGTGACAAATGAGACAAGCATTCCAGTTAAAAAAAAAGACAAAGGGTTAGGACAGAAAAAACATCACATAGTCAGTTGGTTTTAGACTGACTTTATAACCTGAATAACCTGTTTGGCTGCCTGGTAGCCTTCGGGTCAGTGACGCACTAATACAGGCAATAAAGGATGAGCTGGCATTTGAGATCTGTACATTTGCATCTGAAGACACAGGATAAGATATCTGTTCCACATCATGTACAAACATAATTTAAAGATACTTACTTATTCCCTTTATCCATACATGGTCTCACCCTGTCGTCTCACTGAGATATTTTCAGAAGAAAGAAAAAAGGATGTGCAGTTTGAAAGTAAAAGAAAAGGTAACTGAAGACTAAGTGAGTCCTGTGAGCTTTATTTCTGTGGGACAGCTTTTATATATACACAACCCTGTGAATATTTTTTTGGGGGGGGGTGGGCGGGGGGCTGCTCTTTCAGTAACTTACACATTCACACTCATGTAATTAAAGGTATATTGATCTTGTGGCCCAGAGCCTTTCCTCTACACATTAGCCTGATCAATACGTGTGATGTTCATCCCACTGTGACCCCTAATACTAAACACACTCAAACACACACATACAGTTGACAGTAACTAAATCCAAATAACTTTTAGTCACTGCCTGAAGGAAGGACAAACATGACGGTCACTTCACAATGTTCTTTGTAACTATTGCTAATGTTACTGGGTGTATCAAAAGATAAATAAATGGTTTAAATTATTCTCTCTTCAAACTCATTTTACCTCATTCCTAATTTTTTTAACAAACATAGGGAGAAAGTATAGCCCCTTACTGCAGTGCCAGTGAGGATTTATCCATGGAAATAGCTACACCTCCATGATGATCTTTGTTCTTCACGATATCCGAGATGGTACAGAGAGGATGTGCTTAGGTGAAACAGCTATCTTTACAAATGAGCAGATCTATTTTTCTCTCACTCTTCAGCATCTTAAACTTTTCAGCAACATGGAACTGAGCTGCAGCTAATTCTTTGTTTGAACTGGATGTGTGGGGTATGGTGTATGCTGAGCTATGTAAATCATGTAAAGGATCTCACAGTGGAATGAGCTGGTCATTTACATATATCAAACTTTAATATTTGTATAACTCATATGTATATATATGTATATATCAAACTTGTAATCTATCAGATAATCTGAAGTCACATTGACCTTAGCTGTCAGTTTGGCCTCAGGATGTGGGACTCTCACATGTGTTGAATCCACTTCATCTGTAGGACACGATGATCAATAAAGAATACAGAACCCTCACATGTGGAAAGGTCATATCAATTCTGTTTTCTTCTGTCAGGAGGCTATGGGAGTAGATGGGGTGGAGCTGGAGAGATTAATTATTAAAAATGTATAATCCACAGTGAGTCATGTATCTCTTTAGTATAACTGACAAATCACTTATGTGGATTTATTTCAAACATTTATTAGTGGGGAAAAATAATTAGTTGTGGGCGGCATGATAGAAATTCTGCATGTGTACACATTATCATTAAATTCCACAATACATTACATGATTCACAGAGACATTAGTGAGGCTAACTTTTTTTTCTCCTGTCATCTCTGTATCTACTCCTGCTGTGACCTTGCGAGCCTATTGGGGCGGAATGATAGCTCCTGATTGGCTAACCATGAGCCTGAGGCGAGTATTTTAATCTGTAACAGATGGAGGGTAGTCTAAGGCAGAGTGAGAAATAACAGGAATGCAGGAACAAAATAAAACCCACTTAGATCTTTTTTATTACAAACATAATTTAAATAAAGTTTGTAAATCAGTTGTACTTTGTCTAAAACCTCATTTTGTACAGTTTTAGGCACAACAAGAGAAAGAAAGAAAGTGAAACCTCTCTGACCATGATTGGAGACGATCTAACTTTTGCAAAAAAAAGCCCAAACCATAGAACACAAGATGAACATGCTTTAAATTAACAATATTGTGAAAGCACAATATTAACTAATTAAGACCCCAAAAATAATTTTCATGCATTGATAGTTTTATTTCTTTTGGAGCAGATTTTCACATTATTTCTCCTTTTGTTTCTTTTTTTTCATTTTTTTTTGTTGCTATTCTGTAAATACAAGATTCCACATAATGCAAAACCATGTGATGAGAATATCAGCCAACCTAACACACACACAAAAAAATACACACACACAAAAATACACACACACAAATACACACACGAACACAGAAGCCCAGGGGCAGGTTCACTGGAGAGACAGAGGCAGACAAGGTTAACAAAGATAATTCAATACCTATCTGTGTGTTTTCAGCCTCAGTGGTGGAGGCCTTATCTAACAAAAGAAAAAAAATATTGAGGATATGAGTGGATGACTGAAACCATAGACCAAAAACATTGTGTGC